AAAAGCCGGAAATGTCGAAGCCAACTGCGTCATTGGGTTACAGTCGACCCGCATTTGGATTTTGATTTTTAATAGAGACTATATTACCTACATAGGTATATTATAATACTATAACACTATAATAAATATGTACTAGTCTATCAATGGAGTGGATTCCATAAAAGCCCGCTTGCCCCATAATTTCCCCATATTTCTCTTTTTAACTCTTCTTGTATAGACATTTCTAAAAGAACAAAAGAACAAAAAAAGACACCCAATGCGCCACTTCGACACCTGGATCCTCCGTGATCCCTATTCCATCTGGCACTACTACCCAACCGGCCATCGCTGGCGCGACACCGTCCGGGAATTAATTCAATCCCGCGCAATCTGTTCTCCAGAGAATCCCCTCCACCCACCTATAAACTGGAACTTGAACTTGTATCCATCAAGCCAATCCCAATTCCAATCCCAATTCCAATCCCAATTCCAATCCCAATTCCAATTCCAACCTCAACAATCCCCCCTCCTCCGTCTCCCCCGGAACTCCGTCAAATAATCTGGTCCTACGTCCTCACCAATTCCCCAACTCCAAACACTCAAACCCCACAAACCATCCATCTAGTCCAACTAAAAGGCAAAATCCGTCATGTTCGCTGTCCAACCCAAGCCCATCAACCCCAACCCAACAACTCCCACCCAATTCAGCCAAACCCCTCTTTAACCCAAAACCGCCACTGCTGCCCCACAACCCCAGCCCGCTGGCGCATCTACGACGGCCGCGTCCCAGGCCACAGCGACAGACTACTGTACCCACATACCCACTCCCATCTCCCATCAACCCTAAGTAATAGCAACACTGCCCTCCTCCGCGTCTGCCGGAACATCTACTTTGAAGCCGAGACAATCTTGTACAAATCCTCGCATTTCGACGTCGATGATTTATACACTTTCATTGCATTCGCGGGGTCCTTATCGCCGGCTGCCCGGAATGCCATTTCTCGGTTGACGGTTCAATGGATGCCGATTTGGGTTCCTATGGCTGGACTCGATCATAAGGGGTCTATCTATGCGCATACGCATAGTGATGCGTTGTGGGTTCGGTTTTGGGATGTTGTCGCTTCGTTGGAGGGATTGCGGGTGTTGGGGTTGAGTTTGGATTTGGGGAGGTTTACTAGTGTGCTTGGGAATACTGGGGAGGCGGTTGTTTCGGGCCAGAGGATTCCGTTTGGGGTTGAGGAAGCGTGGGTGAGGCCGATTCTGCGGGTTAGGGGGTTGGAGGGATTTGATTTGGCGGTTACGGCGAGGTGTGATTTGCTGGCTAAGGGGGTTGTTGAGGGGGAGTTGGTGAGGGATGTTGGGCTTTTGAGGGAGGTGTTGAGGGGGATATTGTGTGGGCCGAGGGAGAGTGGGATTGGGATGAAGGAGATGGATATGGAGGAGAGGAAGAGGAGGGGAATTAGATTGGCGATTACTGCTGCTTGATGTTTTGTGCTTTGTGTTTCTTATTTCGATACCCTTTTGTTTATATTGTGTTAATACAGCTACCTTGAACCTCTTTAACTCAGATGAAGTATTAGCAACTGGTAGAAAGCCATATACTACATAAGGTATGGCCCTCTAATCTCACACCTTACAACCCCTCACCTCCCTATTACAAGTCAAGTTTCTCTCTGCTTCAAGCCCACAAAGATAAAAAGGTACCGAGGAAGATGTCTTTCATATGTAATGAAAATACCTAACCTATTTATGACGCATCCTACTAGAGCCAGTGGAAGAAAAACTGACAGGAGTATTCGTACATTATCCAGCATATACCTATACTCAACCTAGGTGTTACTATCGCCATTATTACGCGGGGTTGAATCTCATGTTGCACACAATAACTACATATGTAACTAGTTATCAGGTCTTCACAAGTAACCTGGGGAAAAAGTGGTACCTCGGCTCGTCGCCAAGAAAACTGTTACTTAATAGAGACTTTCAATTGTTTCTAGCCCAAACATCTATTCCATTTCACCTGAAATCACCATGGATATCTCAATCTCAACTTCGGCATGCCTTCTACTGGGTTCACTGCCCTTACTAGTTCTCTCAGAATGGAAATCCAGATCACACACGGGTACCGCGGTATTCAAAATGCTCTCTTCACTGGCTTTCCTTAGCAGCCCATTCCTCCTACCATCCACAGAATGGTCAGATTATCGTCGTCTCATCACTATCGGTCTTGCCTTTTCCTTGCTAGGCGACTTTTTCCTTATTCCTTCCCATCGTGAATTCCATGGCCTGGACAGCAAAACCCCGTCCGACAAATCGGAACCCCAAGGAAAGGTATCTATATCTTTCCAACTCGGTATCGTCGCCTTCGCTGCGGCGCATATAGCCTACACTGTAGCCTTCCTGCAGGATTCTAGCGAAACCTCCTGGACGACTTTTGTCACCACGTTCGTAGGAACTCTGGCTGCTGCAAAATGGTTGGGTGTCATATATCCCCCACCACATCCCTCTCCCCAGACCAATCTACTGGACCTCGATATTACCCCGGATATGAAGCCGTTGGTTTCGGTTTATGCGGTTATCATTGGTACAATGTTCGCTGCTGCTACTTCCACCTCCCCGTTGATTGTTTCAACCGACTGGTGGCACTCGCGAGCCCTGGGAGCTGCGATGTTTGTTGTGAGTGACCTTTTCGTGGCGAAGAATGCCTTTGGGAGATCTTCTGGACCGAAGAGTGGTGGGTGGTTTGGGATCTTTGTGGGTTATGCGCTTTATTTCTGGGCTCAGATGGTTATTGCTGCAACAGTGCCAGCATGATACCTTGCATGGACTAGGAGATATCCAAGTTGTGCTGAGGGTAGATCCCACCATGACCCTCGCTCGAGACCAAATCTGGATTAGGCTATTTTGTATATAAGAGACTTCTTAAAGGGTTTCTGACCTTTGGCATTGCCCGACAACAATTGCCAGTTTGTATATAAAGTGGTATTTCACCGCGCTGTACTTTGATAATTGCCTCATAAATACGAATATAGATAGAATATCAATGCCAGGATGAGCCACTGTCCGGGACGACACATGTTTTACGTATAGCTCACCTTCGGATTCGAATTGCCATGCTAGGTATTTTCTACGATAGCTTTCCCTATAAAGACGTGTGAGATAGAATGCCACTATATAATAGTCAAGAAGAGGAGTCTACAGAGAGGTCGATGTACGCAGTGAATATGAGATTGAGATAGTTTGGAGCAGCCAAGCTCTAGACCATGGATTTGCCAGTTAGAAACACCCACAAGGAAAAGGAACATGATGTATGATAATGAACCAGTGGTTTCAACCCCTTTCCCTTCCCTTTCCCCCTTTCCTGACTTTCTGCTCCTTCGGCCAATTGAGGATTTGACCTCCTTCGCATGACCTCATGAGCTTTGTCCTGTATAGCGCATTCTTGAAACGATACCATGAGAGGCAATATGTTGGGAAGTTAATGACAGAGGATATATGATGTCCGGCTGGATTGGTATTGGGCATATACGGAAGCAACCGAGGATTCTCCCATGTGTGGAAACGGTGACCCTGCAAGTTCCCTAGAGTGGTGTGGAGAGGCCATGACTGCATCTTCTTAGGCAAATCCGACCCAGAAATAGCTTCGTGTTGACGTCTATTGTGGCGAGTGTTGTGCAAAAGCAAAGATAGCTTCCATCGATCTGCAGTTGACATCAGGGAGGAGGAGATGTGATCTTTGCTTGGAGATATCCCGCTTTAAGAAAGGGTATGCGTGGTAAAATGATATATGTATATATATAGAGTATAATGATGTTTATAGGCAGTGAAGAGAGTTATGACATGATGGTGAGAAGGGAATGGTAGGTTGGGAAAGCCATGAGAAGGAGATTGGCTTCCTTTATATTTGCTGGGTAAAAGAAAGCCTCAGGGGTAAGGCAAGTTTAAATGCAAACATGCTTACATTGTATCAATGATTAGCCAGGGACGATATTTAAGTAAATTATCCAGACTTCTGAAGTCAGAAGCAAGTGAGCTGAAACAAAACAGCTCCAACGGTCTTGGAGTGACACAGAAGCCGAGTCATTGTGAAGATAAACCAGGTAGCATGCTATTCCTTGGGCATTGTCCAGATCTCCCCGTAGGTCTTCCCTCTGACATGGTCTCCAGGTATATGTAAGTATACCCAAGTATACGCAACCCAAGATCCTCTAGGGTAAGTGGCAATTCGATTGCAGGGCCTGGCCATGACGGGTAAATTTCCCGCTCTAGGTGGCAGTGTCTCAGGAGAGACGATACCATATATTTGTACAGGACATATTTCATACGAAAACATAATCCATCAAATCTAGTAATCTGTAGTTTCAATTGACCACGCAATTGGAATCCGAAACATCAGAAGCTATCTCAATCTATGTGCAGTCCATATCCGGACACGATCAAAGGCGAGGTTGTGTACCTCAAATCAGCTGTCCATCAATTGCAGCTTTTATGAACAGACTAAAACAAACGGGGGAACAAGGAATAGCCTTGGAGAATGGACCAAGATCAAAGACCATGACCATGACCATGATCAGATGAAAAGGGTTAGATCAACTAACATCACTCATCACCATGGCCACATACAAAGACATCAAACAGGAAACAAGTTCATTGGAAGAGTATTAAGGGGAAGGAGGAGCGTTAAACCGCCGAAACACAACCAAAGCGAATATCAAAACGAAAAAAAAGCCTGTATCGAAGCCGAACCAGCCAAGTCCAACATACAGCCCATTCACAGAAGAAAAAAAGACACCAAGCGCCCGACATAGGAAAAACCGCCAGTTACGGCACAATTTGTAAAAGTATAAGACACGAACCGAATGCAAAATGAAAAGATGGATACATATGCAAAGGAATAAGGGGGAAGGTGAATTGGGGGGAAAGGTAAAATTGCAGCTACAAGAAGAATGGCAGACCTATCTACCACTCAATTTGTAGCTTGGTCGGGACAAGATGGTTTCAAAGAGAATAAATCAAGTCATCTACTTCGCAGAGACGTGACCAGCACGGCCACGCTCCTCCTCCTCGTAGCCGTTGTTGTGCTCGGACTCGAGTTCTTCGTCAGTGGGACTGTGCATGCCACTGGGGGGTTCCTGGAGAGATTGGCGACTGCGGGCCATCTGTATGAAGTGCATTAGTATGAGTTACTCTAAATAAAGCCGCGCTGCATATCCAACAATCGGGGGATGTGACTTACCCAAGCACGCACACCTCCGATCAATCCGAGACTGTAACCAGTAGCGAAATCCTCATTGCGACGCGAGCCCATGGGGCTATCTGCACGGTTTTGCTCCGCACCCACACGCGACAGATGAGACTTGCTGCCACCAGTGGGGCTGGTGAGGGGTCCACGCATACCCCAGTCCATGCTGTTGCGACCGCTGGGCGCGGGGCTGTTAGGGCGGCTGTTCTGCCAGATCTGGCGCAATTCACGACCGAGTTCTTGGCCGGTCATGGTCCAGTTGTTGCGGATGTTGTTACGCAGCTCGGCGACATGACGCTTGATCTCGAGCTCGTTCTTCTTCAGCCAGGATACGTTTAGTTCTTGGCGGGAGGCGCCACGCTTGAATTGACGGGAAATGTATTGGTCATAGTCGCGGACAACCCTACACATAGATATAATCAGTTCTGGTCTCTTGGCTTCAGTGTGGGGAAGTGGAACATACCGTGTGATGATACCAGTGGTACTGACACCCTCGGTACGCTGCGTCACTAGGAACTTGCCCTGCTCCTTGATAGGACCGTAGATGTCATCACCCTCAGCGGCCTCGTAGGGCAGATCGTCGTGAGCAACGTAGTCGATCTCATGCTCCGACAGGAACTCCGGTGTCACAATCCACGGACAGCAGGGGATGACCTCGTCAACCCACTTGCAGTGACGGATAGTCTCCGCGCGCTCGGCGCCGCTGAGCACCGTCAGACCCTTGCGCAGGTGTGTCTCCTCGTCGCCAGTAACACCAACAATCAGATAAGTATCGGGGAAGGCCTTCTTAGCCTGCTCAAGCTGTCTCATATGGCTAGAAATTGATAGTCAGCCACCATTACCCAATTGAGCAAGCTTGAAACCAGAATAAAATTGGGGGCCGAAATTAAAACTTGGTCTGCTCGTGTGATCACCTACCCAAGGTGGAACAAATCAAATACACCGTCCGCATATACGCGTACTGGGCGGCCCGTTGGAGGAGGATTAGTGCGATAACCGACGGGGTCCTGCAAGCGCCCAAAGACCGGGGGAGCCATCTGCTCCTCTGTAACAGGCTCATCGTCTTCGGCTTCGGGCAAATCGATATGTAAACCGGGGCGCGACCGAGGGCCACCCTCAATATCGCTGCTGGCGACAGTTGTCTCGGATGGCTCGCCGGGGTCTTCCTTGTTAGTGGCCGGCTTGACCCCGTTCACCTCGGTGTGGCTTGCGGCATCGGCGGCGGCAGCCTTACGGGCCCGCTTAGAAGGATGGCGGGTGCCATTGGTGCTGTGGGAGGTAGCATTGGGTCCTGTTGAGTCGTCGCCGCCTTCTTCACCAGACGCGTCGCGTGAAGATGGCTGGAGGTCGGCTGTGACGTTCTTGGGGACGGGCGCGGGAAGGTGGGAGGCGCTGCGCTTGCGCTTGCCGGCGGGGGAAGTAGATGGCGACATTATGTATTTTGAGGCCCTGGAGAATAAATGAGGGAGTTCTTCCTAGGGAAATGAATGAAAGGTTGGGGGGGAGAGAATCAGGGAGAGAATTAATGCTGAACCCTGAATGACGGCAACCCGGTTTTAGGGGAAACTGGTAATTTTCTGTTTGGGGAAAGAGTGGGGGCGCAACTCCGCTGTTTTAAGCCACAATTCTAGGAGTCTAGAGTATACGAGTATACGAGGGTTGAATCTTACAATACGAAGAATTGCAAATAGGGGCTCAACGTTGCAAATTAAGTCTTGGCATTATGTTTGGTTACACTGACCACGTGTGGATTAGGTACTCAACCCTGTGAGGTACAGGGGGTCCACGGGTATTATATCACCACTTTGTCCTACTCCATTACTATCAATTGGCATTGGAATTGTAGTTCCCAACCCCTGGGTTTACCTACGTCAGCAAACATCCATGGATGACTTTCTCTCTCAGAACTCCGTTGCTTAAAATAGAATAAAACCAACATCTACCAAGGTACAAAGAAAACGCTGAATGCATCCCGATATACGCCAAAGGGTATGTAAATGACCATTGCCATTGCCCATTGCTCACCCTGACGAAATCTCAATCAATACCCAACTCTACCAGCTTGCGCCCCTAGCAAGTACTCATTCTCGTATACACCAAACCACAGATCAATGACTGTAGGTAGGGAATAAACCGGGGATTAAGAGAAAGAAGAACTCCCGAAATAAAAAGCGGATAGAGAAGTGTAGGTAAATGGGCTCGTCAATAGCGGGCATTTTCTGCGGTATCTCGTTGTGGTGATGGCATAAAGTAAGAAACGTGTTCATAAGGCCCATTTGGCTCCCGGCGAAGGGCTCTCTTTCAACATCGACCCTCCATGGAAATTCAAAGCTCTTGTCTTTCATCTCATTCAATTCCGTCTGAGTCTCTTTGCCGCATGTCCCGTCTTTGACAAATATCCATTTCAAGTGGAAGGAGTTTAAAAAAAGGTGTAAACAGGCTCAGGACCGGAGCCCAACGATAACTAATCGCAAAATAAAGAAAAGGGGAGGAAAAAACAGGGCATAGATCGTGGAATCAAGGGGGGGAAGGGTCGTTGGCAGTGGGCAAGGAAAACAAAACCAGAGTGAAACCAAAACAGGGAGGACCAATCGAGAGACTGTTCATAAGCTCATAGTCTACGATGCGGACTTCTCTTTCTCGGCATCAGTGGAGGCCGGGGATTCGGATATTTGAGCAGAACCGCTGCCATTCTCCTGTTTCCCCTGAGGACCCGGGGTGGCCTGGCGGTCATTCCGGGTGCCCGATTCGTGCTGCACCTGGTTGGTAAGGTCCTCGTCCTCGTCCACCTCCGTCTGGTCAAAAAGCTCATCGTCGTTCTGACCCGTGATAACTTCAGTGCCATCACCCAGGAGGATGATGCGGCCCGAACGGACACTGAAACCACGGGAACGCTCCATCTCCAAGTCATATTCATCCGGGGTATCCTCGAACTGGTTCCGGATCCCGGGGCCGCGGAACTCGGCTGCACGAACTGGCCGTCAGCACGAAGAAGTGGGGATGCTTTCGGGTTCCTCGGGAGACTTGCCGTACTCGGGCGGAGCACAAGGTCCATCCCCGTTCGCAACCCGCTCTGCAATCTGGTTATACCACTCCTCCTTGGTCTTGCCTTGTAGGAGTCCGATGACGGTCATGGTCATGTTGTCACATCCAACACCGCCGGTTTCACTGTTGGAAGCAAGGCAGTTGTCCATCATGTTCTCGGAGATCTGGGCGAGGGGCTGCTTGGCAGCAATACCTCTGCGGACAAACTCAACCACGGCCTGGGAAGATTGGCAGTCCCAGATACCTGTAGATAGATTAACATTTAGACTAGTGAGGGAGAATAGCAGAAGACATACCATCACAGGCAATCACCAGGAACTCATCATCATCCGTCAACTCGTGAACGGTCACATCAGGGTATGCGGTGACGATCTGCTGTTCGGGGGAGAGCTCAGGGCTCTTCTTGAATTCAAAGTCACCGATAGCACGGGACAGGGCAAGGTTGCCATTGACACGACCGAAGTCGACGAAGCCGCCAGCAGCGGTGATACGAGCCTTCTCGCCTATTGTAATTATTTGTCAGACCCGATCTTGTTTTATATAGCGTCCTGTATGATTCTATGCACTTACCCTCGTTCTGGGGCTTGTGGTCGAATGAAAGGGGCTTGGCACGTCCCTTGACACCCAAGACGGATCGTGAATCACCAGCGTTGGCCTATGACCGGTCAGTTTAAAATTCTTCAATCCGATATTGTTTTTTCTTCTCGTCAATATCATAACATACCACCCAGATCTTCTTCTGTGAGATAATGGCCGTGGAAGCAGTACAGCCGGACACCTCCTCCTCATAACGGGGGTCTGGACCCAAGTCAGCTATCCATCATGTACCTCGGTTACAACAACACAGCACAAACCTTCCAAAATAGCCCTATCGGTCGCGAGGAAACCATCCTTCAGGGCCTGTTCAATATCGCCCTTGGCGAAAGCATCCTGTCGGGAGACGATCTTGTGCAGGTTCTCACCGGTGAACAATGCCACCTTGTCTCCACCATGGCCATCGTACACACCAAAGAAGGCGAGGCGGTGTTCCGGATCCGTCGGTTTGTCGGTGATGCCGGTATACTTTGCCTGAAGATCAAGAATTGTAGCGTGGGCGTCCTCCATGCTGATTCGCCAGCCTTGCATGGCCGACACGCCATACACACAGCAATCATCCCCGCCCTCGGACGATGTCTATAAGTGAAGAAAATAACACGTTAGTTACACTCGATGCTTTTCCACGACATATGAAAGGCTGCCTGGTAGGATTGCGATTCCAGTTCGTTGCTGGTTGAACCACCCCCACTACCCAGCTGAACTACCCAGGACCCCGCATGGCAACCCGAGGAAGATTCCTCCGAGCGACAGCGCGGACTATTTGTTCAACTGGAAGGCCTGAGAGAGGCTCGGTCTATAACTCCCTGATCCTGGGGTATGACAAAAGCCAAGAAAGGGGGGTGTGTTTCGAGGTCATGGAAGACACATTGGAGGGTCACAATGGGCCAGTGTGGGGTGTGAATCAAAAAAGCGAAATATCTCACCTTTTCGACCACCGGCTCCGATAGGGTTTGACCCATATTGGCAAAGATTGAATAATTCGGGGGGGAGGTGGTGAGATCGAGGTTTCCGGATCGAAGTGTGGAAAATGCTGGAGGTGCTGGAGGTGCTGTAGGGAAAGGGTCAGATGAGGGCGCAGGGCTTTCAGCGCGTCTGGGTCCCGCGATAAGTGGGGAACGGACGGATGATGGATTTCTTGCCTCTGTACTTTTGTTTTTAAAATAGGATAGGAATTCTGTAAAGAGATGAAGATTGGAAAGACAATTTCAAGGAAGCTTATGAGAGAAAGTCCGAGTCCTGAGAAGACCTCGCAGAGATTTCCTGGTATTGCGTTTACCGCTTTTGTTACGCTGTGCTCTATATAGTCACGTGAGGGGTGATCGGACTGGTTTATAAGGAGTTTTGAAAGGTGTTTGGGATTTGAGAGATTATTTCTTACAAGAAAGTATTGAGTGTATATAGCTCATAGCATCTGTATAGTATTTTGTATGTTGTATCTCATTATTGAGGCTGAAGGGTAAGTAAATAAGGGCTACGTAGGCATAGTAGTCACTGTACAGTCACGCCATAGTGAAGATGCCTGATTTTCAAATCTAGGGGATCTACTCTATTCTATTTCATTTGCAGAAAATAACTTCCTTACTCTTTTATCTCATGGACTCTATCTACTTGTATATAATGTTATAATTAATGTGAAGGCAGAAACCCAAGCGGTGAATCCCAGTGCTATGCAATGGGCCTAAACAATGCCGATGGAGAGATATTATAATATTATGCGCTCCAAAACTAGATCAACTAGTATAAACGACTTCAATATCAACCAATCAACCATAGAAAAGCCAATGGATATCGTACTCGCAATGCCAAAAACACAATAGACAGAAAGACAAAAAAAAAAAAAAAAAAAAAAAAAGACCTACCCATAGATCTAGATATAAGACAGGGGAAAAGAGAGGGGGGAAGCCAAAAAAAAATTCAAAAATCAAACAAATGCCAACTCTCCACTACTAGCGATAGGAAGACCTCGATTATCCGCATTCTTCAACGGCCGCGGGGACTCAAGAGGTGAAGACAACCACCATTGATGACTGGCGCTCTTGCTAGGGCTGACCTTGCGCGACAGATGCTCTTCCAGGTCCGAGACCATAGATGAGCTATGCGGCATAGCATTTTCATCATTCACTTTCTGAGGCTGGGGGTTGTTGTTGCCCTGGCCCTCCAACTTCCGAGCACTGCCCATACTATTATCGCTCCAGAACCGCGGTAGCGGGGAGATAGCACCGCGGTAGTCTTGTGCAAGACTCAGCTGGCTCTGGCCATATGCGCTACCCTCAGCAAGGGGAAATAGACCGGGCTGGTTCTGATATTGGGAAAAGCGGTTCACGTTATTGTCGTCACCGTAGTCCGATGCCGATATCGCAGTCGATGGGGGCCGTTCTTGGATGGATTGGCGGAATTCATCGCTGAAGGTTGACACGGAGACGGTATCGGCGCGGCTGCGCATGCTGCGGTTTCGGTCGAGTGCGCGCATGCCCGAGGAAGTGCGCCGGCTGATTTGCGCAGAGAAGAGAGGGTTGGAGGAGTTGCGGTGCTTGGCTCGGCTGTGCACAAAGGCTTCCAGGGAGTCGGCTTCAGAGATGATGGAGTCGTCGGGCTCGACGGTGCGTAGGGTCATGCGCTTGTAGTTTTCGGGGATGCTGGACGCCATGCTATGACGCATGCGTCCTGCTGCTGGCGGGCGTGAGAACAATGGGGCCATCTGTGTTAGGCTGGTCTCGTCGCTCCACATTGAGGCTCGTGTGTTTTGCCATGATGTGTGCACCACCCCGTGGCCGGGAGGTCCGAAGCCGCCAGCGCCATGGCCAGCTCCGCTGTATCGTACGGGTAGTCCAGAGGCAATGGAGGAGATACCGCTAGAGCGCTTTGAGTATCTCTTTGACTTAGATGATTGGATGGATTCTCGCTTCATGGCTCGCGGCTGGATCGTCTTCAATGGCTCTCGTCGGGAACGGTTGGTGGTCCTACGGCGCATTGGGCTGGTCGTGCTCGTATACGAGAGGCGATTGTTTTGCTTCTTGGAAGGTGAACCGCTTTCAGCGGGGTTCTCTTCTTGGATGACCGGGTCTCGCAGTGGGACAAAGCCACCACGAGTGGGAGAGTTGCGAGCGGGAGAGCGAGGGGGGATTACGGGAGAAGGAATAGCAAAGTTAGCTGGATTTTCCCGTTTATCAAATGGTGACACGTTCCACGCGGGCCCAAGTTCGAGCTTGGGAATCGACGACGGTGAGATAGGACTCATCCAATCTTCGGAATTGTCATCCTGGGAAGGTCTCTTCGTCATGGATGGCTGACAATTAGGGACATCAGGCCTAACAGGTCGTGGGGGAGCAATCTTGCCGTCTGATGGACCCTCTTCGACAGTGGATGAGTTCTTGCGGCTACGCCAGCAGCAGAAGAGAATCAACAGACTCAGAATTACCACAAATGGGACAACGACCGAGATGGCGATGATTCCGGCCTTCTTGTGGTTAGGGGTGTCAGATGAGGCGGTAAACGGATCCGTGGGGTTCGAATGTGTGTCTGAGGCTTTGAGGACATCGAGAACGAAGTCCATAGTGTCTTTGGTCGATCCCTGATATGCAGTAAGAGGGATGGTGAACTTCTTGGGATCCATGTCATCCGGAACGTGTCCGTAAAGAGTCTTGTTGTCCGAGAAGTAGGTAAGCCATGTGAGCTCGTTGTCCAAATCGACTTCCAATCGTACAGAGTCATCGGTTACGATAGACTGGTTGAACACAAACTTGAAGTCTTGCCCAATGGCTGCCTCACACCCATCGACGGTGTCGAGGAATAGCTTCAAGAATTCTAGGCGAACCATCATGTGCGCTTGATCCTGGAAAGAGTCGGTAACGGCGATAGTGATATTCTGGTTCACAGCATTCTTGGGTGGTGTCCCGCTAAGCGATATATTGTCCTTATCCAACTTCAACCAATCCGGCAATTTGGCGTCGACCTTCGCCAGCTCTTTGACAGAAGTTGGTGAACCATCCATAGACAGAAGGCTAGTAAATTTGGGACTGTTGAACTCTTCTCCTCTCGTAAGGTTGAAGCTTTGGACAGTCTCGTTGAATGTCAGAATATGGGGACCGATCGAGAGTTCAAATGTCACATTGGCCGCACTGTATCCAGCTACATCCGATGCGATCATCTGGAAGGTGAATGTTTGAGGCTCCGCGCCTGGAAAAGCAGGGCTATTTCCAGCAAACTTCAGCGCAGCCGGGTCGAAGTTGATCCAAGAAGGTAGCGGGGCGTTGTTCGGGGAGGTTCCGTAGTAGATAGTAGAAGGATGCGTGTTGTCGAAGGTATCCTGATCGAACTCAATTGAAAACGGACGACCTGGATGGATGAACAGCGTGGCAGGGTATGACACCGGGCCCAATTTCTGTAGCTGAGGTATAAGCGGTTTGTTCACCGTCGGTCCTTGGTCTGCTGTCACGATTAGAGTAACGTCCATGCTGTCTTTTCCCGATCCATTCGATGCCACTAGTTTGAATTTGACAGCACCGCTGTCGCTTGAATGAGGCGTTCCGGACAGAGTGAGACTGCTGCTGTCCACTTCGAGCCATGATGGTGCATCCAATAGCGAGTATTTAGTATCCGCGCCACTGTTAGAGAAAGTACTTTGGGCGAATGCAAATCGGAAAGGCTGTGAAATTCGAGCAACAGGTGGCAATTGCGAGTTGATAGGATAATTGGCAGCCAAGGATGCTGCATTGGCGACTGACAGGAAAGCCAGCACGATGGTGAGAAAGAAAGCCATGGTCGATTGGGCAAATGCGAGCACACTGGAACTGTATATAGCTGGAAAACACACAGCTAGCTCACCGAATGACCAACAATGCTTCCAGTCTCACGGCGAAAGATAGTGAAAGTAGTAAAGATGGAAAGAAAGAGATTCAGGGCGAAGATGAAAGAGTATTACGCATGATCTTCCAGAAAAGGATCGTGGTCCCTCTCGCGCTAAAGGGACCAGGGAGACATTCAAGGCGTGCCCTTTCAAAAAAGCCATACCTGGATATGTTAGATATCACGGAGGTATGTAGCAGAATGACTGCGGAGAATGGACGCAGGCCCGATCGCTATACTCTCACGTTTCGAAGATGCCCGTGTCCATGCAAGGGGTAGCCATAGGTGGCTCCTGCGGCAGCCAAGGAGCATAGACGCGCCCTACCATGACTTATTGCCCCTCGGATCTATTTGAAAAGGACCGGTAAGGCAAGGAACATTTTTAGTGGTAGGAAAAAGGTCCGAAGGGTGCCATTGACGACAGTGGCTCAACCATCACGCTTCTAAATCCAGGACCATTTTGATGCCTGTCCGTCCAGGGGCATAGTAATCAGGGATGACTTCACGCTCCTCGAATCCAATACGGAGATACAAGGCACGTGCAGACTCCCTGGCCTGGTCCACCCAGAGCTGTATATACTGACAGCCCTCCTTTCGTAGGCGCTGCTGAATGTAGGACAGCACCTCCTGTCCGACACCTTGACGGCGGTTAGGCTCTGTTACACAAATTTTGTGCAAAAGCGCAACGCCCTTCTGTCGGACATAGACCGCATAGGCAATCAGATCAGAGTGTGATCCCTTGGCTCGAATCGCGTACAGAACTCGCGTGTTGGGCTTTTTTCTCCACAGATCTTCGCTGAATGAGAATGCCTCATTGGTGGGGAAGGTTTTTTTCTCGACGCGCGAAATCTGGGCAAGAATCTCTAGTGCCTCGTTCCTCTTCAAGGAATGAATGTCCGAGATGGTGAGGCCAGGCATTCCTCCCATTCCTCCCACTCCCATTTCGCACTGAGGCGCCATTCCAGATCACAACTAACTAGCTTTGACACACGCCTGGTCCAGTTATTTGACACTGCAACTGTGTCAGTTTATGCCGTGTAAAAGTACGAAGATCCGAGGTTGGTTCTTGAATGTCACGAAAAGTGTTGTGGTCCCCACCGGTGAGTTTCAACCAATGAGAGTCGCCTTCATCTATAAACCACGAGTTGGCGTCTCAATTTCATCTACGTGTCAATGCATATTCAATTAGAAGCAGATGTTTCATTGTTTGGTAAATCACATGTCAAGCTATGTTGGGTGATGCCCAGTGATGTTGAATCCTGTGGGATAGTGTCGAATCATGTCGAGTGATGTTGAATTATGTTGAATTATGTCGAATGATGTTGAATCATATCGAGTGATGTTAAATCTTGTCGAATCATGTGGAATCATGTCAAGTCATATCCCATCTCTGCATAGCACCTGGGTACATAACTGACTCCTCCTCAGTTCAAATCAAATGACGACAGTGATCGGTTCGCGGTGGGGATCCGACTCTCCCCCAACAATGCATGCATTCACGAGCTCGGTATTGGCCTCCATATCGGGGCTGGAAAGGGAACGCACAAACGCTTTGATTACCTTCAGAAGATTCAAGAAGCCGCCACGCGCAGCCTCAATTTGCTCCATAGCGCTCTGAAGATCATCATAGCACAAAAGCTCAGTTCCATGATGCTCACGAACGCACCCGAAAACGTGCAGTCGAGGATGACTCTTCCACAACTTACGCAGCAAATGCCAGCAGCCTTCGAGAGAGTCGAGATGTGTGAATGGCGGTGTGTGAGTGATAAGAATGTCGACATTGTTTGGGACTTTGTTCCAAACGTTTTCATCGCGAGGGTACTGGAAAGCCCGGGAATGAATGCTCTTTGGTGAGCAAGGACTTCCAAAGACGCGGAGCAGCCGTCCGTTCTCGGCAGCTACCACGACTTGCTGGTGCTCTAGATAGATGATGTCGCCCCAGTTTCCCTTTCGGCGAAATCCATGTCTCCAGTGAGGGCCTCCCGTCTTCATTTTATTGAGATACTTGTCGCGTCTGCCCGCGACCACAATCTTAATGTGGTGTGGCTGGTCCTTCAGCCAATTGAGTGTGGCTTGGAGATCGCGGAGTGACCCGTCTTCTGCCATATCGCCGGCATGGATTAGGATGTCACCTGGCGGTATCTGTGGTCGCTCGTTGTATGTGTTTGAGATGCAGACCACAGTGATCGGGTCTTCAGGCGGTGCACGGAGGGTAATTGGTCGCCGGTCAGAGATCTTGCGGGCAAGGAAGAGGCAAGGTCCACCTCGGAATCGTTCCCAGGCCGATGGTCCTTTCGCCTCTTGCGGTCCTTTCGGCGGTATGTGGATGGTCGTCGGGCTTTCATGTCCCGGCATCTCCGTCGCGATAAACCTCAATCCGATGAATCTGCAAATGGTGATGTTCTCAGGAAATGCAAGAAAGGTTGAAGAACGAAGGTTACGATCTGATATTCTTTTACTTTTCTCTTGTCCGAACGAACGCGCGTTGTGTCTGTCTGGACCTTTTTGGGCAAAGGACGAGTCACCGTTCACCTCGCGTGTCATTTGTATATACACCATTACCGTAGCAAATAAAAGTCTCGCTGAAACGAACGGATATACATCTATTCACTAACTTCCACAAAGCGCCGAAAAACAAAGAAAATATTCAACGGCTCTAGGATTAACTAGATCGGCCTAATTGACACTCCAATGCACAACTCGTTTAACACGAATAGCCATAGGATCAAGATTCTGCTCCCCACTAATCCTCTCTTTCGGATCTGCTTCTATCTCCACCCGAGTCTTGACCGAAGTAAGAGCACCCAGGTCCTCTTATATGTCGCCGAAGGGCGTAGGGCTCGTTCTAGATTCAATATCGTATTTGTTGCTTTCAAGTTTGCGGAGAGATATTCTCTGTATAACACTGGGCATTCGAGGTGTCCCGATATGCTGGGTGGGTAAACTCGGGGTTTTCTTGACCAGTGAACGGACAAATGGCTGTAAGACAGGGAGACAGGCGCAGATGATTCCGATACATGGCTCGATGGTTGACCACACAGCAACATCGCCTAGGGCCCATGTGATATCGATATTGTTGTGGAGGTAGGTTATGTAGTGGATACGAATACCGCTTGCGACACAGACACTAAGACACAGTTGTGTTAGCATTGGTGTTCTGGAAGAGCTTTTTACGGGGAACATACGTACAATCCACCTAGAAGAAGCACACTGCACACGCCAATCTTTTGTGGTGTCCGCATCTGAAGTCTCCAAACAACAGGCAACGGGACAAGCAGAATAAGAACATCTGTCACGACGTTGGCAGCTGCGTTCCCAACGTAGTAGTAGTAGAAGTCATAGCGGTTTGAGCCAGATTTAGGGTCGATGATTTCCCTCCAAAAATATGAGATTGGCTCACAAGCGCATATGGCTGCAATCATGCTTCCTATGCACCAGCCATATGAGATGAGAAGGGTGGTCCAGATCGTCCAGTTCATGCCAAAGATTCGGCGATAGAACATGAGAATTGAGACTTTGATGAGGAGGAGCTGGAACAGGTAGACAATGAGGTAGGCAAAGAGGATCTATACTTTTCAATTAGATTTAGCTCCGAAGTATAGAATGCTTTTGTTCATGCCTTTTTCATCGTCGCCATATTCTCTACTGTTATCCACCAAACATGTAAACCGAACCCGTAGGTGCCGCCTGAGGGATATACCTGTCAATGTCTTATTTTCCATATGGTTAAAATCGAATTCAAACCATACCGAGAATAGATGCTGCAAGCAATGCAATCAATGGAATACCAGATGCTCCAATCAACCAGTCATCGGCTTCCAGCCTCGCTCCCAGGATATATCCCCTCACAACCAACCGGAAGATAATAGTGCACACTGCAAGCATACATATAGTCACGACAACAGTAGTATCTTCAAAGGTTCTGCTTTCAGCGAGATCTAAGCCCGCCGGTGGAGATCCGAAAATGGATGTCATGTTCATATCTGCGATGTCCATATTTGCGGTTTCCTGGTTGTGCCAACACCCTGTGGTATAGGAAAATGACAGTATATGAGGTGTTCTATGAGCATTGAACGGAATCAAAGTGAATATCTCTGAAGGCTAGCAGGCAAAATCCTTGCAGGCGAGCATTGGTCATCTTGTTCATTTCTGATCTAGCAAACTGGATGAGATCATATGAGAGAATCAGGGCAGCATCCTAAATGGGATAGTTAGGTGTGAATATCTTGTATTCATGTCACTCATTTTTCAGTCCCACTTTCTCAATTTGGATAGGATCTTTCTTCATGGGTGGAGATGGTTGTTGATTAGGGTTGGGGGCGAAATGGAAATATCCGGCATGGGAGGATCATCGAAGATAACTGGTAAATTTTCTCTTTTATGGGTCAATTTCTCCCATCACATGGACTATGCACTCATCCTGAAGGATTGAGAGGCTACAAACTGTGTTGCAATTCCGTGAGGATCAACAAGGTAGTACGTTATGCAACTGTACTATGTGAACAATTTAATATAACGCCCTATATTAGGTTTAAATGAACATTTCCTAGATTTTAGAGATTATTAGGATACCCATTATATAATATAGATCAAGAATAACTAATAGGAGATGATAATGATGTGAAAATATGTGAAAACACGAATATGTGAACTATATATTTATACAATATACATGTAGGTTGTATGCCCTATGAATTTCTTTGACATAAATATGAGTATGTGTTGCATTCTCACAAATAGCCCACTTCTTTAAGTACTTACTCTATAAATGTTTTCTAGTATATTTTAGGAGTATTTTGTAAAAGATAAGCACTGTACCTAAGAATATCCACCAGTAATAAGAAAAGCAATTGAAGTAGCAAATTCCCTTATAAGTAAACTGAACTTAATAGAGAGAATGTCCCTAAAAATTATTAAAATATCAAAATATATCATTGATGGACAGAGTACTCCACACAATATACAATATGCACCGTTTATAGATGATTGCCGCAGAAAAGTTCCCCCACAACGATCAACCCAACTTCAACCACACAGATTCAACCGCCTTACATTCCAACAGCCCCCCACTATCAATATCAGAATTAACAATGCCCCCAACGTCCCAAGACCAGGCTGGTGACAAGCGCCAAGCTGCCAGAGAAGTCATTGATATCCTTCAGGAGATCTCCGACCTGCTGGTGCGTGCTCACCTCCCCCAGAGCTAGACAGGATTCAGGATTCATTTAGGACTCCTATTCCATATCGTCATTCCCTCTTTACAAGAAAATAAAACTATAATCCCAAATACTTACTTTTCGAATAGAATACCAACCTGGATCGGACAGAGTTGTCGCTTTGTGTGTCTCTCATTGAAAACGGGGTCAACCCCGATGCTTTGGCGGTACGCGTTTCCTGTGAAATTAGGATCGAATCCTAAAAATATAGCGTTCTGCACGCGTCATTCGGTTTTAAAAGTGCCTAGTAGCTGACTTGATTTATGCTTTACAGACTGTCATCAAGGATCTGCGCAAGGAGACTGGTTCTTCAAAGCGCGTGGGGAATGCCCCCGCCGTGGAGTAATCGTGTTGGGGAGACGGCTTAGGTTTGAAGAAACTCTAAGTTACCTGTTGTCTATTGTTGCATTGAACGAGGTCTGTTAGTTTGTTCTGGTTTTGGCGTTGAGGCCGTGTGGTTGTTAGTACACGGGCCGGTCGGAGATATACCCTTTTGTTTTGTTGCTTGTTGCCGGTACAAATACAAATTCAATTTGGCTTGGGTTTATGGAGACATTGGAAAGCTTGGGAAAACGTCTTGGGCTACCTCTACTAGGTATCGTAAACTCGGGGTGGGTAGGAGTGGGTAGCGCATAACAAGATGAGTTGGCAGAGTAGAACGATAGGGGAAATAAATATGATCACGGGATGGGAGGAAAGGGGGGGAAGGGAGCAAAGGCAAAGGGTAATTCGCGCAGATGACAGCGGGGATATTCAAATTCCATCATTCGCAATTATTTTGACTCGTCAGGCTTGGTCGCGCCCTTGGTCTCCTGGCCCTTGGAACCCACTTCGTCGGACACTGACTCGATAGTAGCATGCTTGATCTGTTCGCCTTCCGAGCCAGTGGTTTGCTCCTTAGTCTTAGTTTCCTTAGTTTCTTTCTCATCATCGCTGTCGCCGAGGCTGAATGGGTCGTTCTCCGCGACGGGTGAAGGCTCAACGGTGGACAATGGTTGCCATTTGCTCGCCTTGCCGCTTGTTGAGCTGAGACGCTTGGATGGAGTGGACGCATCGTAAAGGTTGTCGATCTCGGTGGGTGGTCCATCCTGGAAAGACACCTTACGCCTATCCGGCGAAGGAGATACGGAGGCTTTAAGGCTGGATTGGCCCGGACGAGGGGGGCGAGCCGGGGGAGCTGTGCACAGTTAGCAAACCCAATAATACTAGACTTAAGATCGATGTTTACCTTCGCCATCCCTCAACTCAAGAGCAGAGAAATCATCGCTGAAAACTTGGGGATCTGCGTCGTAGCGCTCACGATCGCCACTGCGACGGCCCATCTCACCACTACGTCGGGGCCGGGACTGCGCTGGAGTCTCTCTTTGATTATGGGTAGGTTCCTCGTCCAAATCATCTCCATCGATTCTCTTCTTCAGGTTTGTTACCCACGAGTTAACCTTGCTCTGTGTCTCCAGGAAGCCCTTGCGGAGGTTCTCTCGAATCACAGGTAGATCATCTGTACACACCCAATTAGCACAAGCTCATTTGGCAAGCCACCATATCTCATACCATCAAAGAAGCTGTATTCTCTCTCCTCCGACTCCTCGCTTCCTCTTGGTCGCTGGTATCGGGGGTCACTCTCCCAGCCTGGAGGCGGCGCGCGACGTCCTGCCGCGTTGTAGTGCTCTGATAGTTGACGTGCATACATTTCGTCGGCTTCCAGTTGACGCTGTGCAGCAGCGCTCTGTTGGGTTGGGCGCGGCGGCTTTGGCGGCGGTGTCATCTCTTCTTGAGCCTTGGGGTCGGTCATACCTGCAAGCAATGATTGGGTCAGTTCATGCTCCTTTCATAAATAGTAGATTCCCCACGAACCCAAGAGGGCATTGAACGCCCGTTCGACATTCCAATTGCTTGCGGTCAAGACTGCTTTAATAACACCAGGCTCGATGCTTGGGAAGGCTTCTCTAAGGGTGTTCTCCGACTGTTCTCTCGGGTTCAGGGGCCGGGGCGGCTGTGGCGGGGCTGCCTCGGCGGCAGCTGGCTGAGCAGCGACAGGGGAGGAAGTAATAACTCCGCTCTCCTGGGGCTCATCGTCGAAGTCCATCGGACGCGCAGTAGTCGGCGACTCAGGTCTGGGGCTGGTAGGGGAATTAAGGGCAGCCAAAGGATTGCTGGAAGTGTTCTGTGTATGAACGTGAGCCTCATGCGATAACAAGTGATACCCGGTTAGAAAGGAAACGTACCATCTTGTCCTCCTCTGGCATCTTGGGATATCTTCAGGACCTAACAGAGGATAGAAAGGGACTGAAGGGAAATTCACAAAAACAGTGTTGCCTGAGAATGTTTGAGCGCAGGAGACATCGGGGGAGCTCCAAGTGACGTGGGGCGCACGTGATAGCGGGCGAGCTTTATACAGATCGCGATGTTTTTGCGAGGACTCCGACGACTTTCAGGTTGCCAATCTACAAAGTGCTTGAATTTCATAATGGCCCAGACCCAATTTGGTTTCTTTTAACAACCGGGCTCAAATCCAGCAGAGGTCGTTCTCGGCTAGAATCTGATCTAAAATGGCTTCAGAACAGGAACTCTCGCCCTCTTTCATTCCAGCCCTGTATAAACCGGCTGCCTTACTACCTATCGCACGCCACAAGAAGAACCTGCTCTACCTGGTTGAAAAATACCCCGTCACTATCGTGGTGGGTCAAACAGGTAGCGGTAAAACAACCCAGCTTCCGCAGTATCTAGACCAGGCAGGATGGTGCGAGGATGGGAAAACCATTGCTGTTACACAGGTGTGCCTTGATCCCATACTACTGCAAATTAGGTAGAGACTAACACCGTCCCAGCCCCGGCGGGTGGCTGCTACAACGGTTGCGACACGAGTAGCCGAAGAGATGCGATGCAAAGTCGGTGAAGAGGTGGGCTACTCCATCCGATTCGAAGATTTGACATCTCCTGCAACAAGGATCAAATTCCTGACAGATGGAATGCTGCTTAGAGAAGCTCTGGTTGATCCTTTACTTTCGCGGTACTCCGTGATCATGGTCGATGAGGCACATGAAAGATCTCTCAGTACTGATGTGCTTCTTGGGACTCTAAAGAAGATCCGCAAGAAGCGCCCTGAGCTTCGCATTATTGTTAGTAGTGCAACCCTCCAGGCAGAGGAATTCCTTCGTTTCTTCGCCGGCGAGGAGTACCAGCCTGAGGCAGAACCTGCGGATTTGGGTGGAAGTGTTGGTCGGATCATCAGTCTGGAAGGACGGATGTATCCAGTCGATATGCTGTTCCTTGACTCCCCGGCAGAAGATTACATAGAGAGAGCAGTGAAGACTGTCTTTGATATCCATACCCAAGAACCAGAAGGCGACATACTCCTCTTTTTGACTGGCCGGGAAGAGATCGACACTGCGATTCAGTTGATATCAGAAAGAGCGGCAACTCTCCATCCAAAGGCACCCTCTCTGGTTTCCCTGCCACTTTATGCTGGACTCACCACGGAACAGCAAATGTACGTCTTCGAGCCGGCTCCAGAAAACACCCGAAAGGTCATCGTCTCGACCAACATTGCCGAGGCCTCGGTCACAATCGACGGCATTGTATATGTGGTTGATTCCGGCTTCGCCAAGCTCAGAGCATACAACCCTAACACTGGTATCGATACATTGACCGCAGTGCCAATATCAAAAGCATCCGCCACCCAGCGAGCTGGCCGCGCTGGAAGAACAAAGCCGGGAAAATGTTTCCGTCTGTACACGCAACAAGCATTCGAGCAGATGCCGGAAGCAACCGTACCTGAAATCCAGCGGTCAAATCTTGCGCCAGTCATCATGCAGCTTAAAGCACTGGGTATCGACAACATTGTCCGATTCGACTTCTTGACACCACCGCCGGCAGAACTTATCATTCGTGCACTTGAGCTCCTGTCCTCTCTCGGCGCGGTTGATGACTACGCCAAACTCACAAAACCGCTTGGAGTGCGGATGGCAGAAATTGCTCTGGATCCTATGATGGCCAAAGTTCTTCTCACCGCGCCATCTTTCAATTGTTTAAGTGAAATTCTCACAATTTCAGCCATGGTCAGCCTCCAGGGAACAGTGTGGGTTCAACACGCTGGAGACAAAAGATCTGCCGAGAGCCACCGGCGAAAGTTCGCCGTTGAAGAGGGCGATCATTTAACGTACCTGAATGTGTACCAAGCCTTTGTCACCAAGGGGAAGAAAGACTCAAAATGGTGTCGCGATAACCTCTTGAATTACCGGGCACTGCTACGTGCGGTGAGCATCCGAGGCCAGTTGAAACGGTACCTGGAACGCTTTGGCATTCAAGTCGATGAAACACTTTCATCCCGTCATGGCCCAGCCGATCTGAGCAAACAGCCGGAGCAAATTCGGCGTTGTCTTACGACGGGCTATTTTGCTCACGCGGCGAAGATGCAACCGGATGGAACTTTCAAAACTGTCAGCGGTGGCCTGACTCTTCATGCTCACCCCACCTCGTTGATGTTTGTAAGTGCTCATGGATTATGTGTAGGGAAACACATGTTTGGTTTACTGACATAAATATAGAATCGAAAAGCCGACTGGGTCATATTCCATGAAATCATGCAAACGGGCGAGAAGACATATATCCGCGATGTTACTAAGATTGAGAAGAGTTATCTGCTGGAATATGCTCCGGATTATTACCGAGTCAGGCAATAATGACATTTGAAATTCGGCTAGAAAGGAGAAATATGTATAATAATACCCAGGCGTTCAAGGAGGCTGTGGAATTGAGATATAGTATGTTGATTGGATTCTATAGATCGAGCGAAAACCAAAAGCCGTAAATGCGACAGGCAGGCAATTCGGCCTACTGTACAGTGATATATGCAGATACAGTACCTAAATTGTAAATTTGGACAAAAGAAAATAATAAATCACTTTCAGCGATATGGTCTCTTAAGGCTACGAACTACATACATAGCAGAGTAAAACGACGTCACGGGAGTGGAGAGCTTCCCAAACACCTTTCAACTTCAAACATTTGAATCTCCAAACCCATCTTCGTCTTAGTATTCAACTCCTGTACAACTATCTAATTTACATCGATATCTTGCAATGTCAGGGCACCATCATGATCACGATGGCCACTGCCATGGCGAACACGACCATACCAACGATATCACTCCAGCCATCCAATCCCTCCTCTACTCTCAGATCAACTTTGATCTAATTACAACCCTGAATGGTATCCATAAGCCCCTTGATCGCCAAGTAACTACTGGTGACAAGTCCTGATTTTCGACAGAGACAACCCCAAACTCTGGCGCATCCATCGTCCAGAAAACCTGGGCCGAGCGACTAAACGACAAGCCCGAACTTGAGAGCGATGCCGACGAGCAGCTGCTCATGACCATCCCGTGAGTCTCACTAATCCCACAGAGCTATCCTACAAGTTCTAGTGGCTGTTAAACCCCCCTCGCAACGCGTCACAAAAATCCCAAACCCCCACCAATCTTACCCCTCACCCGTTATCGCCAACTCCAAAACTAATCCGAGCTTATACAACACAGCTTCAACGGCCAAGTCAACGTCCACTCCCTTCTCCTATACACCGCACCTACAAACTCTGCCCCGAAGACAGTGAAGCTATTCAAGAACCGCGACGATTTGGATTTCTCAACTGCATCAGAGTTGCACCCGACTCAAACCATCGAGGTCCCCCAGCCTGTACCCGGCGCCGATGTCTTTGAATTGCCATTGAATCGTGCCCATTGGAATGCGACTACCTCTGTCACGCTATTCTTCGAAGATAATTGGAGTGATGGTGAGGAGGATGTCACTAAGGTTGGGTATGTAGGCTTCAAGGGACAGTTCATGAAGTTAACCCGGGAGCCGGTTAATTTCCTCTATGAGGCTGCGGCGAACCCCCAGGATCATGTTTCTATTCCTGGTGTTAGTGGCGTTGGTGGTAGGATTATGCCTGGGCAGTAGATGAGGTTCGTTGGGGTTTCTTTCGAAGAGATGCGCATGCCTCGGTGTATTTTGAAATTGACAGGTCAGTCACGATTAACGACAATACCATTCTACCACTATGTATTTCTACATGGATTTTATTGATTTGTTGTGTGTTCTCTATTCCGGTCAAGTGAGCTCTTATGGAGTATCATTTGTAAAAGCTCGGAGTGAGGATGTCATATAGACCGTGAATTTTACAACAAGCAATAGAATCAACCAACGCCATGGATACATGAAATCTACCAGCAATATAGGCAACAAAAACAAAAAGAGCCGCAACGCCACAAAATGCTCTGGATCAATATAATGCAATGCTTGATCTGTGAAACGAGGACCCAACATATCTCCCCTACTGAGCAGGCAAAGCCGTCCGCGTTTCAACTTTAGCCTTAGCCTTGGTTCTTGGAGTCGACTCCGGCACCGGCTCTTCAATAGGCAACTCAGCAGTAGGCGGACTTGGCAGTACGACATCATCAGGCAGGACCTCAGGACCAGCAAGTTCCCGCTGCAGAGCCTCCAGCTCATCCTCAACCTCGTCCTCATCTTGGTTCGTCAAATGACCCGCCAGCATCTGGCTCACCTCCTAATAAAAACAGTCAGTGACAACCGAACCCCAATTCCAACGTCCTGCACAACATGGGATAGAAACTAGGAACGTACCTCCTGATAAGCTCTCGCCTCCTCAGTCTCCCCCATCAATTTCTCAACACCCTCAATGCCACCCATCTCTTGATTGATAGTCTGCAGCACCTTCGTACCCTGCTGCAACCCAAATAGCACGTCCTTCTGCACAAGCGCAAACTCCACCTGCCCAGTCAACTGCTCCAGTTGCGCAAGTTGCCCATCTGTCTTCTCCAGGAGCGACTCTTGGTATTTCTTGCGTCGGAGGGCGAGCAGTGCCCGCCGCCGATCATCGCGTGCGAGACATTCCTTGGCGATTTCCGTCTCGCGGTCTGTTAGGACGGTTATTCGTCGCTGGTATTGGTGCAGTCTGTCGCGTTGGTTTTTGAGATCGAGAATTGCCCTATATATATGCCACGGGTTGCTTGTTAGCTGGCATCACAGCACTGGGTTCCTTGCATAGGCGTGCTGGGTGGGGATGAGGGGGTCTCGTGAGGAGAACAATAGTATGCCCTGACAAGCGGGATTGAGAATGGGTTGAGGATATTGTATGTATACAATATACAGTAGTCTGCACTCACCGATCCTGGGCAGAGATCTTATGCGAACTACTCGTGTTTCCCATGTTGTTGAAGAGAAGAGGAGAACCTCCGATAAGAGTAGATGCGGGCCTAGACATGAATGACGTTATGTAACGGGCCCGTAATTACGTGTAATTTTCAGCCGATCTTTCAAATGTTTCCCATCTCCGAAATTTCGGGCCCGCGGCCTTTTCTTTTGCACAAACCAAATATCAAATCATGCCTCCTAGGAAGGGTGGCAGGCCGACCCTCAGTCAGGGTCTGGACCGTGAGGTATGTATTCCAAGATTGTGTCTTGTCGACTTTGACTGACCCCCCATAGGTCTACCAGATCGTGCGCAAGATTATTGACGACCAACCCGAGACTGGGCGCATTCGACTATCGGTCCCGACGATTTATGACACAATTAAGAAATCCAACTCGAGTTTGAACCGGAAACCGAAGAGACTTATCGAGGATAGTCTTGAGCGGGTATTGGAGGTTATCAAAGCTGATATGGGTGAAGAGGACGAGGATTCCATGGAGGGGGACTTTGAGGGACTTGAAGAGCCCGCCGCTACGGTACGTTATGAACTGCGCATGTCTTTTTATAGCTTGAATGGGGCGGAATTCTAATTGGAATTGCCATATCAGGAACCCAATGGAATGAACCAGAGCGTCGTTGGCTCGTGGGCAACAACGAAGGCCAAAAAGATCGCCGAATCCACCGCTAGCACACCGGCACCCACTGCCTCCAAGAGAAGAACGCATGGTGGAGAATCTGTGTCTAAGCGACGCAAGGCTGAGCCCGCGGATCGTTCGCCCCCCCACACATGTCAGTCTGGCCGATTTGGGTGGACTGGACGATGTTGTTCAGGAACTTGGGGACTTGGTCATTCTACCCATGACCCGGCCACAGGTCTATCTATCATCAAACGTGCAGCCGCCGCGCGGAGTATTGCTGCATGGTCCGCCAGGTTGCGGTAAGACGCTAATTGCGAACGCTTTCGCAGCGGAGCTGGGTGTGCCCTTCATCTCAATCTCTGCTCCTTCAGTCGTGTCAGGAATGTCGGGTGAATCCGAGAAAGCCCTGCGCGAGTACTTCGAAGAGGCCAAGCGTCTTGCTCCCTGTCTGATCTTCATCGACGAGATCGATGCGATTACGCCGAAGCGCGAGAGCGCTCAGAGAGAGATGGAGAAGCGAATTGTCGCCCAGCTTCTGACCTGCATGGATGAAATTGCCCTTGAAAAGACAGACGGCAAGCCCGTTATCGTACTCGCGGCAACCAACCGCCCAGACAGTCTCGATGCTGCTCTGCGCCGCGGTGGTCGTTTCGATAAGGAAATCAACATGACCGTGCCCTCAGAGCCAGTCAGAGAACAGATCCTACGTGCACTCACCCGCAAAATGCGCCTGGCAGACGACATTGACCTCAAGACGCTAGCTAAACGAACCCCCGGTTTTGTAGGCGCCGATCTCAACGACCTCGTCTCGACCGCCGGCTCAGCTGCCATCAAGCGGTACCTTGCGATCCTGAAGTCAAACAGCGGCGAAGAAATGGAGATGGAAATCGAAGGCGAAGACGATATCAGCCCGCGAGTCCGCGAACTCCGCCGTCTTATCACCCATGCTAAGGAAACCCCCATCGGGGACGAAGCAGAAGTCGTCCTCGTCTCCAACGCAGACTTCTTCACAGCCCTCCCCAAGATCCAACCCTCCTCCAAGCGCGAGGGCTTCGCCACAATCCCCGACACAACCTGGGCCGACATCGGTGCCCTCGGTGGCATCCGCGACGAGCTCGTCACTGCCATCGTCGAACCAATCAAGAACCCCGATATCTATGCAAACGTCGGTATCACCGCCCCGACTGGCGTCCTCCTCTGGGGCCCGCCCGGTTGCGGTAAAACCCTCCTCGCAAAGGCCGTCGCCAACGAGTCCCGCGCAAACTTCATCAGCGTCAAGGGTCCCGAACTGCTCAACAAGTTCGTCGGTGAGTCTGAGCGCGCTGTTCGCCAGGTCTTTGTCCGTGCCCGCTCTTCCGTGCCTTGTGTTATCTTCTTCGATGAGCTCGATGCCCTCGTGCCCCGCCGTGACGATACGCTCTCTGAGGCCTCTGCCCGTGTCGTCAATACACTCCTCACAGAGCTTGATGGTCTCGGCAGTAGTCGCCAGGGTATCTATGTCATCGCTGCTACTAATCGGCCTGATATTATTGATCCTGCTATGCTGCGTCCTGGTCGTCTTGAGACTCTTCTCTTTGTTAACTTGCCGACGCCGCTCGAGCGTGTCGATATCTTGCAGACTCTTGTCCGGAACTTGGCTATTGAGTTTAGTGAGGATCTTCGCAAGCTCGCTGAGGAGTGTGAGGGCTTCAGTGGTGCTGATTTGGGCAGTTTGTTGCGTCGCGCTGGTTACTCTGCTATCAAGCGTCGCGATAGTATTAAGTTCCTTGACTTCGTTGCTGCTAAGTCGTTTGTTCGGCCTAGTGTTACGGATTTGAGGAAGTATGAGAAGCTCAGGAGGGACTGGAGTGGCGGCGTGGTCTGAGTTTAGAGGTGGTTTGTATATGTATTCTCTTGGGATATATATGGACATTTATGCATATTTAGATCTAGAGTTTTCTTTTTTCTCCCATTTTTTCTTACTTGGGAACGTGGACATAGATACCTTGAACATTTGCTGTTTATTCAAACATTGGATAATTCAATCCTATATTCCTTCGACTATTACATACCCAGCTACAATGACCTTGAGATATATATGATAGGAGGTAAAAAGCGTTAAAGAAGCAACTTTTTTGTAAGATAACTATACAAAAGGAAGATTATGCACAAAAAATAAATGGAGAAAAACGCCCAGAAAAATGTCAGACATCATGCAACGGCATCTCAAGATTACATCCACAAGCGACACGTTCCATCGGCACCAGCACTGACAGCCCACGCCTCGCGGGGGTGCCAGTCGATATCCAAGACACCCAACTCGCCAGTGATCTTGTGGCCCTTGAGAACCTTGAGCGGGACAATGGTAGCATTGCTGAGCATATCTCCAGTAACGCTGCCGTGGAAAATCTGCAGGGATCCATCGTCCGAAGCATCCGCGAACAGCGGGTAACGGCCGCTGGGGTGGAACTTGACGGCACGGATAGCCTTGCGGTGGTAGCGGAGGGTCTTGTAGGGGCGCTGGGAGAGGTCGAGATCGTGCCAGAGCAGACGACGATCGTACGAGCCGATGATGATGTTGTCGCCGCCGGATGCGCTGGAAGAGGTCGGGTGGATGTCGAACGACGAGATCCAGCGTGCACCAGGCTGCAGGATCTTGACGAGGAGCTGGCGCGAGAGATCGTATGCGCGGATCGAGCGCTGGTTGGCGACGAACAGGATAGGTTTCGACGGGTGGAAGTGGGCGGTCTGGGGGGGGACCACCACCCTTGAGGCGGCGCCGGAAGGGGAATTGTGTCAGGTGCTTGCTGAGCGTGTGGATGGAGATTGCGACGGAGGCGGGTGTCGAGGCGCCGGAGCACACTGTCACGAAGTAGTCACCACGGCGGTGCCAGGAGATAGTCTTGGGCACGTAGCGGAGGGGAATGACAACGCACACACCGGCGTCCACGAGAGCGGACGAGGGACGGATCCAGGTTGGGGGCGCGCTCTTCTTGCCTTCCTCTGAGACACTGGGGGCCGGTCGAGAGGCGGCGAAACCCCAGCCTGCGTCGAGGAGATCCAGACTGGCCTTTTCGATTTCAGGGTCGACAATGGGAGGAACGGAGAGGAAGATATCGTCTCCTGCGGTGGCAGCGAGGATGACAGCATCCTTGCCCGGACGCCAGCGGACAGTGTTGACCGCCTCGTCATCGCTGAGCTTCACGCTCCACAGTTGGCGACCTGTAAGGAGTTCCCAGACACGGACGGTACCGTCGTCGCCACCAGTAGCCAGCCAGACTCCAGTTGGGTCTACGTTGACAGAGCGCACACGGCCCTTGTGTCCGCGGAAGACTGTGGCACAGGCAGTAGGGAAAGGCTTGAGCTCCTCAGGGCTGGGAAGCTTGGGCAAGAGACTCTCGGGGTCGATGTTCAGCTTGCTACGACGCACACGCGGAGCAAGGTAGAGATCCAAGCAACGCTCGAACTTCTCTTGGACGAAGTTGTCGTATCCAGGAACTCTGCGCAGGGAGCCAAAGTCGTGGGGTAGGTAATCCTTCTCGCGGTCCTCGGGATCTGTCTGCTCCCATTCCTTACGTTCCTTGCTATCGGGCAGGTACTCGGCAGGCGGGTGGTAACTCTCCTCGTAACCAGGGGGTGGGAGTTTGGGCGCCGGGATGTGCATGACGTGGTCAGGTCGCTCAACTTCGTCAGCCCACAGGTCGTAGTTGATGAATTCTTCCTCCTTGTCTTCCCTCTCCTCTGGCGCCTTGTAAGGAAGAATGCGGCCTTCGCGGATGGCCTTCACAAGCTTCATCACACGCTTCTGCTCGTGCTTGGATGGCACGAAACGGCGCTTGGGTTCGGGCGCGGCGCTCAGTGGCATGATCTCCTGTTCGCTGGTGAACCATTCCACCAAAGGCTCATATGGGTCGTAGCCCTCGGAGGGAACCTCATTCATTTGCACCTTGCGGAGCAACTCTAATTCTTCCTGGCTGAGCTCCAGAGGCTTGCCGGTCTTGGGGTCAGTCAGACCGGTCCAGCCCTTGGGAATTTCAATACTGTCCAACAACGCATCCAGGGCCTCTCCCTTGGCGGGACGCATAATTTTCTTTCCGTTGATGTCGTAACCAATGTGGGGATATTCGTCGTAGAACTTCAGGGGGATGTCACCAATGGTGTTAGCATTTTCATCCACCTCGGAAAGTTCCGAGTTGTCGTCGGGGTGAATTTCATCCCAGAGGTAGCGATCGTTTCCGTTGGCGTCCTTCACAATGCGGAAGTTGGGTTCACCTGCAGTTGGCTTAATTTCCTCTGTATCAGAGGGGATCTCGTCGCTGTCCAATTCCTCTTCTCCATCTTCTGAGTCGCTAAAGTCATCGACTAGCTCAACTTCCGAGTCGCTGTCGTCGTCTTCACTGTCCGAAAGATCTTTGGAGTTGTCCGACAAGGCTCCATCGAGGTTGCCTTTGCTCAATTCGTCACCGGAAAAGATACCAGCTTCCTCCTCGACATCGCGAGTGACAGCCTTGCGCTTCTTTGAAGCCACCTTGGGGTTCATGATGCCGTTCAGCGGGTGTTGTCTTGTTGCGGTAGATCCATAGTTTTTTTTTTTAGGATAATTTCTCGGGGCGCTCACCGCCCACATGACCGCCCCCATCTTATCGGGACTATCTATGATGTTGTAGTGGGTTTCCAACTATTAAAGAGTCCATTTTCTGAATAATATAGTCAAACAATGGCGCTCCCACCTGAATATGAGGGAGGTATTCCTTCGTCTACTACGGATGATTCGTCAGAGCCAAAAAGACATGCAGCATGCGACGAGTGTAGTAAGTCTAACAGGCTGATGTAACCCAAACTCTCACTGACCAGTCTGCTGCTCGACAGGAAAGCGCAAGCTCAAATGCTCCGGAGAACCAGCGGGCTGTTCACGATGTAACAAACAGTCACTTTCTTGCAACTATTCCATACAAAAACAGATGGGCCGCCCTCCCAAGAAAAGGGCGCGGACAGAAGATGAGGGGGCCAGTTGCCCAGCGCTATCGTTTGCCAAAATTTGGCCCAGTCCAGCGGACTCGCAACAATCTTCATTAGGGATGAGTCCAAGCACAACGACCTTCTCAGATGCCGACCATCTTTGTCCGCAGTTATTCTGGCGCCCTAGTATGCACCCGAATTCGCCACAGCCCCAGTCCGCAGACCAATTGTCAGGCTATGAAGACCATAGCCATACCTGGAGCCCAGGCCGTCTGAAACAGCCAAATCTTGGTGTTCCTGCATCATCTTCCCCTTGGCCTGATTTCGCGGCCATATCCGAAGCCACGGCCATGCCAATGCCATTCCCTACCCCTCCAACCTTCCCTTCTATGCACTCCCTCCCGCTCTCTCCTGCCACCTCCGTTTCTTCCGACTCTACAATATCTGGGTGTCCGTGCTTATCATACCTCTACCTATCCCTCAGTCACATGACATCGATCTCCTCCTTCCCCGTCAACTCCCACACCCTATGCTCGCTATATATCGCTGCACGAACTGCACGAGATGTGATCCGCTGCCAAGTTTGTCCCAAATCCTTTGCAACTGGCCTTCAAAATATCATGTTCATAGGGACTTTATTAACTGTCGTGGCGGACTCATGGCTGCGCGTCTCACAAGCTGATCCTGTCGAACTGGGGATACAATCCGCGCCTCCGGATTTCGTGTCTGAGGCGGCCCAAAGCCCTGACCCAGCACAAGTTTGGAAAAAATGGCTCCGCGACGTTGTTCGTCGCGCTGTCATTGGTGGTTCCGCTGGGCCAGGTGCTATGCTTGCTTGTTCTTGGCAGCCAGCTCTGCTATCCATGATTATGGAAATTGAGGATCGGCAACGCCGCTGGCATGAACCTGGGCAACATCCACTTGGGGAGCATAATCCACTTGGGGATAGTCATTCAGTATCCACGTCGGACTCAGCTCACTCAGAAGATCAAGACAAGCCCGCGGATAAGCAGTTTTTATGCCTCCGTGTGGTTGGGAGTGCTAGAGAGGTGATCAAAAAATTCAACTTTGATCCCTCAGAATACCCCGAGGGCGTTGAGCCGGTCACTGCGACGAATACAGGGCACACGGGTTCGCATCATACATGAAAATTTTGGTTCATCAAAGCTTGGGTTTGTCTGTTTGATGCACTTCGAATATTTGAGACTATGTGGAGTTATTGTTATATACCATTGGGCATCAGATACGATATAAACCTACATACATTGCTTCGCTGGCACGAGGCTAGATTGATCACTCCAGTTCCCGGTAATTTGACCAGCGGTGGCGAGAAGGTGTGGCTAGGGGCGACTAAGTGTGCACCTGCACCTTCTTGAGGCCATTCAGCCTGTATGCTACACATGTTGAATAATATACTACAGGAGTAATATACTAAACAGCATGTAACAATGGAATTGAATTTTTCACAGAAGGTGTGAAAAAAATTGTAAAACTATTTAATCTCTTAATACATGGAAATGAAGCCATATTTATATAGAATCATCTACCCGTCATCATGAAACTTGCATTTTGTGGTGAGAGAAACGGAAAGAATATAGGAAATGAGGGGTCGATGAAGGTGACGATGCATTGGAAGCAGCCTGAATTGCAATGTTGTATTGTCATTTCAGGATCCTCGAATCTGTATAGAGGAATAGGTGATAGAGGCGTCAAACTGCATCGACGCCGCTAATCTCGATTCCGTAGCAGTCGTGAATTCAAGAATTAACACGTGCAAAAGAAGCAATGGATACACTATGTATTCTTTTCTCTTTTACTTTACTTTATGTCTATATATATATATATATATGTGGAAATGCCGGAAAATACTCTCTCCCGTGAGGGGAAATTTATAACTTGGTAGTACAGTGTCTTGACCAAGGTTGATATGTCATTGACCATTTCATTAATTTTTGTTGTACAAGCATCAGGTCAGTGAAATGAGCCCCATTGTCCCTCGAATGCCTGTCCATGTAGATGACGCCGGACCATGTGGATATGTAACAAGAAAACTGTATCAAAAACGCGAAAAGAAAGAGAACCTGCGAGAGAAGTAGAACGGCACAAGATCACTCGTCATCCTCATCGTCCACCACGTAGCGGTTCTTCTTTCGGGCAGGAGGTGTGCCAGCCCTGGCTTGAGGCTCTGGCTTGCTACGAGCAGCCTTCGCAGGTGCAGCCTCTACATCATCTTCACCTTCAGCGTCCATGTCTTCATCCTCCAGCTCCTCTTCTTCATCTTCGGCTTCTTCCTCCAGTTCCTCATCACTGCCAACCAAGAATCCATCGTCCTCGTCGTACTCGTCTTCTCTGTTACGGGCCCCACGAGAGTAGTCTTCTTCTTCGTCGTCGGTGTAGATCTCGCCGCGGCGGTTTTGGCGGCGAGGCTTGGCACGTGGACGAGTTGTAAGCAAACCGCCATCTTCAAGGCCACCGACACTAAGACCGCTAGGTCCAGTGCGAGTAGCGCCATGGCGGCGACCGCGGTCGGCCTCGCGATCAGCAAGTTGCTGGCGACGGCGCTCGGCCTTGATAGCTTCCTTCTCCATCATTTCGGCACGTCTGCCAGCCAACTCGGGATCCTCTGTTAGTTCATAGCGCGGCGCAGTGCCAGCTGCGGTCTGCTTGCTACCACGAGCAGCAGCCGCCAATTGTTCTTGCAATCGCTGAACGGCATCGTCTGTTTCCAAGGTGGTCGGGAGAACAGTCAGACCTTGCGTGATATGTGAGGTCAATCGGAAAACCTGGGCTGTTTCCAGTCCAGCAGCGAGATAAACGTGAGAGTCCAGCTTGTGGTCATAGTCGCCGGACTTGGTGAGAGGTGCGAGGGGTTTGGATGCGATGCGGTATTGCTCAAGGGGAGCGGAGGCGAGTTGAAGAGTGATAGAGCCATCCTCCCATTTAATCATGCGGGCATTGGACTGCAAAAGAGAGTCATCCGCGGGATCCTTGCGCCAGCATAGGGAGGTAGCAGCGGTCTGGTAAGGCGGTGGGACGTAAGTCTCGGGATTGAATTCTTCTCCTTCGATAGAGAGGAAATCCGGCACGCGCATTGTGTAGACCTGTTACAATAAGTTAGATCAACATCAAAGGCTTCAAGGTAGAAGCTCCTCTTACCTCTCCATCGTTGGTCAATGGCACCGGCGCCCGAGCAAGATCCTGGTCTGCAACATTGACTTCCTGCTGCTCCTCGACCACATCATCCATTCGGTCTTCGCGCCGATCATAGCGGTTCTCATCGTCACCTGAGTCAAGTTGTTCATCGTCTAGGTTGCGGTGGGGTCTAGCAATTTATCAGTACCTAGCCCTTGTCGCTTTGGTGTGGTTTGCATACTCAATATCTTCGAGTCCGCCCTCTCCGTCCGAGCCGAAGAGATCGTCGCCTTCGTCCATTTGGTCGGCGCCAGAATCATTGGCATTGCTGTGCGCAGGGCTCTCATGGCCATTGCTGGGGCGTCGGACGCCCTCCTCATCGGAGGACATGGTGAATAGAATTTATTGGTGTTGCAAGGTCGTAGGTGTGTGGAGGTAAGAGTGTCGATAAAAAAGGAATTGAATGTATCCTTGATATTAAATTGGGAGTAAGCGATCCGATATATCGTCAATAGTGTACTGACAATTGTGCTATCGGCCATTCAAGACGGAGCTCCCATAATTCGATTGACGGTCGGTGTTTATGTATTATCCGATTCCGGACCAAAATGGGACTAGCGTCTCGATGGCCCAGACCAAAAGGGGATCCTCAAACGTGTGGGCATCTCACCGTCTCGTCCCTCATCCCTGTTATTTTCTTGATTTGAAGCATTGCAGATCAATTTCAAAGATGGCGACCTTCTTCCAGAGCGTGTAAGTAATGTTGCGCCATTGTGGACTTGTTGCAATCGGCTGTTCGATCTCCCTTCTACCTTTACCCCCTCATACTGCATGAGGAATCCCCCGGCGCCACAAATACAAAGGAGCATTCTATGCCTTAAAGTCTAATATCTCTCCTGGCGCCTCCTGTCGTTCACATCTACTCTTACTTCTTTAATATATGCCCACTTCACTCTTAAACAGCTATACCTCGCCACAAGCACCTGCTAACTCTATCTTTGAATACAGTCGCCAAGGATTTGGCCGGGGAGGAAACAACAAGAGCAACAATCCCCCCAAAAGCCCAGCACAGGCCTCTACTCCCCAGCATCAAGCCACCATGTCGAATTCGCCTTCGATTTCTAGCAGTTTGTCGGTGGAGACTCAAGCGAATGACCCCGAGGGACCCAAATACTTCTTCCAGGAGAAGTATGCCCCGCTGAATGTGAGGGGCAACTTCTTGACCCTCTGTGCTTGCCCGAAGAATGTGGAGCTGGGAGAGTGGCTGGCTCACCAGAGTAAGCAATATGGAAGCTTATCTTGAGAGCGGGGAGGCTAATGTGTTTCTCCTTTAGTCGTTGAACAATATCGCCTACTCCACGGTATGCTTCAGGTTATCCAGGAGGTGAACAGTGTGACCGGTCTACCTATCTGCAATGAGAACACTTGCCCAACAATGTCCGCTGGACGGTATGTGGAGTATGGCGGGGTAGATTAGGAACCGAGCTAACGATTCTAAAGGCTGACCTATACCTGGCTTGTTGACGGCCGCGCCGCCAAAATTTCCGCGCCGAAGTTCATCAACCGCGTCGAGAAATGGATCGTCAGCAAGATCCACGACCCTGTCATGTTCCCTACCGAAAAGGTCAACGGCACTCCTGAGACCTTTGCCATCAAAGAGGCCAATGGCGCATCAACAACACCCTCCGATCCCGCTAACCCAGATGAGTGGATCGGCAAGTCCAGTGGCTTCCCACCAACCTTTTACAAGGACTGCCAGGGTATCATGAAGCAGATGTTCCGCTGCTACGCCCATCTGTACCATGCTCATTGGCTCAACCCATTTTGGCACATTAACAAGCACGATGTCCTCAACATGTGCTTCGTTCACTTCGTGACAGTTTCAAAGTACTACGGACTTGTGTCCGACAAGGAGATGGAGCCCATGCAGCCATTGATTGAGTTGTTCATCAAGCAGCAGCGGGTTCCCCCAGAGGCGCTCAACGGTGGCCACTGGGCCCAGCAGGCCGCCACTTAAGCTCCACCGGTCTGGAGTTGCACCTTTTTGTTTTTACATTGACGACCATGACATGTCCGCTAACCTGGAGTTGGGCCGCGCTGTCTTACTTTGTTAGTATTCTGCTTTCTCCTGCCATATCCACAAAAAAATGGGCGAATTTGCGATGATATGATACAGAGCTGGGGCTTTGATTGAGCATTTAGCATGCGCTGTGAATTATTCTACTTGATGATCTTGCATATCCTCATCCAGCGTCAGCTGGTCATTGCATGTTTTTTTTAATTTACTCATTGCAATACATTCATCTGATCATAATTCCATAACGTGACTTGGGGTTGTAAATGATCTACTTAGATACATTCCATGTTGTCTGGACTGGTGACTCGCGTCTGCCTAGGGCCACAGAAAATGTGAGTAATCCCTAAGGCTTGGGGGTAGTCATTCATCGGGATGGCCGTCTCTTAGCCGTTAGATCCAAGCTTGTCAATCGTACTGTCAAGTATGCATGCTGTGAAACATAGCCAATTGACATAGGTCGATCTTCGACCCACACGAAAATGTACTAAAGTGCCCGCAGGTAACAGTGATCGAGAACCACTGACGCACTGGTGAGGATGCTCTTGAAGATCCGAGCGGTCCAAGCCAACTTAAAGCTGGCTGTACGTAGATGACCCACCGAATTGGTCACAGATAGACCCCATCCCCATCCTCCCGATCGTTGGACTCCTGTCCTGCACCGGCCGCAGGCTCAGTCCCAATCTCAGTCCCATTTCCATTTGTCATTGGCACATCTGTCAAAGCGTCTTGTCCCTTGTCGATCTTAAGCTCATCAAGCTCAATCCAAGGCTGTCCACGATTCTCGACCTCGGTTTTCAGTAACGCGATCCGTTCATTCATGGAAACTGCCACGCCCTCATTTTCAGCGACATACCCCTCCAGCTCCTTCTTTTCTTCTTCTGAGTCGTTGCTTTCTGTTAAGAATGCACGGAGCTCAGCATTCGAGCGGTGCAGGTGTGCGATGGAGTTTGTGAGCTCGGAGACTTTGCTGTAGAGGACTGCGATGGGGAGCTCTTTGATTGCTTCAGCAAAGGCTCCTGGGGTTATGGGGAGAGCTTCAGTTGACATTTTGATGGTTATTTTGTGAGGGGTGTAAGGTAGAGTTGGGATCGATGCGGGCTGATCTCCAAAGCTGCTTGATTGTTATCTGGTTATCATCACGTGGGGTTTATACATCATACATCAGCTGCGGATGTGGGATATGTTGACGGTTGGTGTTGAGTATTGTTGGATCAGGAAAGTGTAGAATTTATGATATTATAGCTTAGTTTCAGGATATATCTCAAAGAATAAAGCGCGCGCATTCGAACCATTCGAACCATACCTATCATTTCCCCATCTTCTTGGTTTATACCTGCAACCGCGGTCTCGGAACAACCCTACAGCCGTGCGGCCAACTGATGCCACCAAAAAGATCCCCGAACACTCAACCACCACCCCATACTCCGTGGTTCTCTCCGAGCCCTCGCTCTCCAGTCACAGGATATGAGCAATGCGGTCTGGGCCGTATGGCGGGCCCCATGCCCAGGGCTCCGCACCTCCGTGCTGCCAGTAACATTCCGGCCTGTCAGTCGCGATCTCCGCATTACCCCATGGCGCATGTACAGCAGCACATCGCGCCAATCCACGTTGCCAATCCCGAACCTTCTGTCCCAACTACTATCTCGCCCGTCTCGACCAACCCCAACCTCGATATCTCCACAACGATTCAACCCGGTCTCTACCCCCCGCCGCTTCAAACGTACATCCGCCGCATCTCCAAAGCCAAAGCCTAAATCGGATCCCTCGGAGGTTCACCCTCGTCAAAAGCCCTTCTCCGATGCCGAGATCAAAGCTATCTTTGGCCCCGTCAAGTTCAACGCAAAGCTAGGAAACCGTATCCTGGCCGTCCTACACGGCCACCGTCTGACCGGCACGCTCGATGCGGACTTGCCAATTGACATTGTCCGTGCTGTCAACCAGCAGCAGCTTGATATTGCCATGGAATGGCTCCGCAATGAGTATCCAGTCGACGAGGACGCTGCTATCTTCGCCCGAATTGAGCGTGAGGATCGCGCCGCGGAAGAGAAGCTCGTGCGCCGCGCTGAGAAGCTAGGCTTGTATAAGCCGCAGAGCGGTTCATATGACGCTGAGCTTGGCGAGGAGGGCTCCCCTTACGGCAAGAGTGTTTTGAAAGAGGCCCGTGAACGGAATGAGAAGCGCCTGCTGGCTGAACAGGAACGGAAAAGGCAAGAGTGGCTCGATGGCGAGAAGGAAGAACACGAACGGTTGAAGCGCGAGTTTGGGAAGAACACTTCCCTGCAGCAGTACCAGGAGGCTGCGCTTACTGAGGGTATGTATACTAGAGTTCGACGTTGGATGATTGGTATTGGTGTTGACATTTTTAGCTCGTCCCCGTGCGGATCCTATCGAAAGGCCATATCTCGCTTGGGTCCAGAAGCATCATATTGCCGCTACCAACGAGAGTCCCGAGTCGATGAACATCACCAATGTAAGGGTGGCTCATTCTGTGGAATTGTTTGGTGGCTAACCATCTTTGAACTGGCAGTCTCAGCGTCTGCTCGCTCCGCTTCTATTCTCCATTGTAGTTCTCGCCCTTTGCTATACCTTCGCTCAGAAATATGAATTCCCAGCACGAAAGGACCGCATCATGCCAGATGTGCCTCCTGCTGTGGCTACTGTGGGTGCCATCGTGGCAGCTAATGTAGCAGTCACCTTGCTATGGAAATACGTACCTCCGGCGTGGAAACTGCTTAATCGTTACTTTGTGATTGTGCCCTTCTATCCCAGCTCACTGGGTATGATTGGAAGCACATTCAGTCATCAGACATGGAGACACCTTGGCACTAATATGATGGTTCTGGGACTTATGGGAACCAGAGGTATGTATTATAGTCAGTGGAAGCACCAGAAAATATGGGTTCTAACTTTTTTCCTATTCTACAGTTCACGATGAAATCGGCCGTGGAAACTTTTTGGCTATCTACTTTGCTTCCGGTGTCATGGGATCTGTCTTCTCATTGACACGCAGTGTCATCCTCGGCCGCCTGGGCATGACCTCCCTTGGAGCTAGTGCTGCAACTAGTGGTATCGTTGCCGCATGGTGCATGTCTCACTTCAAGTTTGTCCCCCGCCACTCCAGCTGTTATTCTATGTGGCACATATACTGACCCTTCCCTAGTGACAAACTCACCATTTGGATTCTTCCTCAGGGGCTCCAAGAGCAGGTCTGGACCTACGGCTGGGTCTTCCTTGCCTGCCTGGTCGGCACCGAGGTATTCAGCTTAGTAGCTCCAGCATTCTTATTCCGTGCCTGGCCTCTCTCCCGACTGACCAAGATGGACCATGCTGCCCATCTAGGTGGGTATGTTACCGGTGCCGGATGTGGATATACCCTCATGCAGCAAAAGAAAGAGCGTGAGAGAAAGGCGAGACAGTCAAGGTGGATCTAAAGTCTCATCAATAAAGATCTGGTGACCCTTTATGGGTTCCAATTGTATCATACTGGCGTTACTAAGGCAAATTCTAGCCTTTCATCCTACTCATTTACTTAGATTACCATTTTTTTTCTCGCTGAATTGTTCCATTCAAAATATCCTAAGGGCAAAAAATAAAATATCCCAAACCTCTCCACAAATCTCACCTCACTCCAATCCCCAAGATCTACTGCGACACAGTAACCACAGACCACGGATTCAGAACCATGTACTCAGGCTTACGCCAATGCAAAGGGGTATCCAACAACCGATCCTCAGGATACACGGGCGGCTGACGGGCCCGGAAAAGGAAGTGCTTGTCAATAGAAACGGTCCCCGCGCGAACGAGATTCACCCACCACAGTGCAGCATACTCAACCTGAAACATCAACCTCTTCTTATCTTGCTGGGGTGATTCCATCTGGATCGGGAACGAGACGCAATACTTCCCCAAGCCGTGCTGAGCAGTGTCGCTCCAACCAACCAGGTTCTCTGCGATTGTGTTACATACATGCACTATAATCTCCAAGTCACTGGTGTCCATGCCCATGGTGGGTGGGAGAGCCACATTACCCCAGATCCAACCTGGTTGGCTGTTGTGGGGGTCCTTGAAATGGAATCGGTGGCCGTGTTCGAGCTGGCTAGACTGGAATATACTCGGTTGGAAATTGGGCATTGTGGCGGTTGGTTGACTGGATGACTCCCGTTGCAACGATGCGATGTGTTCTTGGGTGTTCTGATTTTCCTTTTGCTAGCAAATTAGCAAATGCTTTTCGGGCTGATGGTGGTGAGATAGAGTCGGGGCGAGGACGTCAAGGGTTTATATACTAAGGAACAAGCCGTTTATTCTGATCATTGGGTAACAATAATGAAAGGAATCAGTCCTTTCATAGCTATAATGCCTTTCTCTGGTCTTTGAGAAAGCTCACTCCTCTCTATACTTTTTGTTTGGCCCGATGTTCCATATTAATCATCTCTATTGTTTATATATGTTCTTTGGTCATCAGAATGGCTTTGTTTATAGAAGAAAATACTGCGAAGAAGACTAGAGATAAGCGCTGTCCATATTGCCAGAACACTGTGTATTAGTTAGAATATTAGCCCTCTGATAACTGGTAATACTATTGAAACCTTTCTAAGTTATCAAGTGACAAGAGTGTTATACAAATCTTACTCCTTTAGCACCGGAATATTCAAATACAGGAAAAAGTAGTGCATTTATTGCTATAGAATTCAGATAAACCTGAACACTCACGTCTGAAGAAGTCAACCCCAATACAATGAACCGACAAAGAACAATCTACATAATATTCCAAGGATCCATCAGAACTTCTCCTACATCCAACATGTCTGCTAGTCTCACCCTCTTACGACGAGTTTGAACAAAAATCATCCGTTGATCTAGAGTGACTTTCCTGGTGTCGATCTGATTAATCCAATAATCCGCAAGATTTCGAGCAAGAAGAAGGTCGGGATGCGTAGGGTCAAACCTATGCGACTTGGGCATAGGCGTATCCGGATCGCGCTTGATAGGGATCGAGAGACACTTTTTACCTATACCATGCATTGCCTGATCTTCTATACTGAACTCGCCGTTTTCAATTTTACGCTTTACCGACAACATAATTGCCGAATCCGGAATGCCGCGATGATCCATGTCTTTGGGGAACCATACCGTAACCCAGTAGTAGTCGCTTCGGTCGCCGGCGGGCTCGGCGAAATATTGCCCGGTTGTGCCTTTATACACACTTGGTTGGAACATGCTTGGCCTGGCGGGGGTTAGTGGACGTTTGGCCCCGGACCCATTGTTTCTCGCGCTGGTTTGTGGACGGAAAGAAGGCCCGGGACACCCATCGCTTCTCGCAGTGGTTAGTGGACGTGTAGAGGGCCCGGGACACCCGTCGCCTCTCGTAGTAGTTGGTGGACGTTTGGAAGGCCCGGGACACCCATCGTTTCTGTGAAGGGTTGCATTTCGATCCGTGGACATCGAGTGTTTATAAGATGGTAGTCGATGTACAATATCTAGTCTATGGCCTGGGAAATAAGTTGGGTTGTTCATAGTAGAAATATGCTCTTCTGGGAGATGCCGGTGACAATGATAGAACTCGATTCGAGGACATGGAGGGTTTATAAAATGATAGTAGAGATGCAATATCTGGAGTATTTCATGGGAAATGACAAAGCCCTTTCATCGCTACAATGGCTTTCTTCATTCTTTCAATGGCTTTGGTCTTTGGTAGAGATATAGTCTTTGTGTACTATGTATAGTTCTACTCAAAGTATGAGCCTTACGGCAAATATCCATGGACTCGTCTATATTTCTATTGATTATTAAACTAATATGAGGCATGTAGAAAATATTTATCTCTATTATCAATGTCCTTGGAAGGATCCATGGATGCTAAGAAAAATTTCATATGCGACAGAAGTGGAGTTGACAGTCTCACCAAATAGAAACGATAAAAGTAGTAGACACATGGGTACTTCGTACTCGGGAATTGTGTGTGATTTATATGGCTACTTAGGCATTAGTGACTTAGATATCTGGCTACATGGGTATAGGTGCATGTACTGGCTACGGTAAAATTACAATCACTTCGACAGCTTTGCTTGAAAAAGAATTTGATATTTCTACCTTGAAATAATTCCCAGATTCCATTGGACCAGTCACAACTTGACCATCTCCGTGGTATCGGCAATATAGCTAATCGGCCTTTTCTCTTTGTAGGGGATTACGACTAAAAAGCCCACAGATTACCGACACCCAAAAATCACCTCCCGGTCAAGATTAGCCACCCCAATACGAATATACTCGAGCCACTGATTCCCATCAGTCTCCGCACGAGTCAAGATTGTAGCCGTGTCAGCAGAACTAGTTGGAATAGGGATCGAGATACAAGCCACTCCCATGTTATGCAGTGCCACTTCGCTCACGACGGCTCGCCTGGTTTGGATATGGTGAAGGGCATACCTCACGATATCCTCGTCGCTATGGGTAAGTTCCATTTCTTCAGGAAGAACCACGGTGACCCAATCAGCGGCCTCGTTGTCTGGATCCTCCGACAACTGAGAGCCTATGTTGGCCCAGGTTTCATCGTCAAAACTTTCCAAATACTCAGTTCGTATAACGAATACACTGCTCTGTCCCATGTCTGTTGAGATGGATTAGTGGATGGAGTGGGAGTTGGGGGGACAAGACCTTTGTTACTAAAGCTGCCTTGGATAGAGACGCTGCTTTTGCTCTATGAATGAAAAGTTTGCTAGTTGACGACCTGAGACGCACGACTGAAGGCAATGTTTCTTATATGGTGAATACTCAGATATAATGAACGTACTTTTGGAGGAAACAAAGACTCATTATTGTCAGAATAGCCTTGTACTGTCTTTGATAGAGTCTACAAGACCCTGGACGCAGTCGTCTATGTCTACGTGAAACACTTGATTTCTTGACAAATGAGCCAAAGCCATCCCATGTCCTTTGTTCTGATTCAATCAACTGATGAAATATTGACCTCGGTGATCCGGGAGACTCTTTGTTACTCAGTCTCTTTTATACGATATTGATTCGAGTCTTTGTACACTCGATTCGTGTTTTATCGGAATGAAACCCCTGAGCTCCTTTGTCTTTTTTTTGATACTCGGCCAAAAGGAACAAGGGCATTATGGGTTCAAGACCGAGTCTAATAATATAGAATTATTCTGACAAAATGGACCCATGAGACAACGACTTTGTCAGCGAATGGCCTTTGTGTTCTTTGTATCTTTTATTGTCAAGTCTCGAGGTAGACTTTTTTTTCGAAAATTCTAGTCAAACATCTTCAGAATGTCTTTGTGTTATTAATTTCCTTCTTTTGGGAGGCTATAGTTGTCCAATGCCATTTCATCTTACAAAAGGGAACCTCCGCTCCCCGACTTGGGATAGAAATTCCACACAACCATCTCAACACAGCAAACCAACATCCACAAACATAAGCAACTGAATTGACTATTTAGCTCGACAGATTCCTTCATTAACACGTTGCACATAAGCATCTTTCTACATTGTAAGCTGCCCATCTATTGTGAGCACTTCTTATGGCTCTTACTAACTTCTTCCAGGACTTTTCTACCTATATCGACTGGATATTGTTTTCCCTTTGCTTTGGCTTCGTCCTGTGCTTTGGATCTTTAACTTTCGTAATTGTTCATTGTATCGTGCAGGTGGTCCAGGCAGCCGTGGCTTTCTACCTATTCGACATCCTTTATTACTTCATCTACGAGGAGACAAGTACAGAGTTCTTCGCCGAGCTCATCTCCCATATCCTCTCCGCACGTTTTGAGCTCAAGAGCTTTATTCTACTCCTGTGCCTACTATTCACCATCCATCACTCTATTAAGGAGATTGCATCTGTCCTCTGCGAAAGGCTTCTCGCGCCAAACACAACCATCATTCTAGATTGTCCCAAGCATCGTGAGTATCGCATCCAGTCCTTCGTCGACGCCTACGACCGAAGGCCAGATACTATACTACTCTAGCAACCCAAAACACCTAAGACTTAACTTTCTAACAGCCATGCAGAGCCCCCAGCTCCCCCAGCTCCCCCAGATCGATGATGAGATGGCCCGCATTCATCCCCTTAAGTGGAAGAACCCTTCTACATCTACTAACTCTGACACCTCCAATGATTCTGACTCTGTACCCACTTCAGTATTCTTCCCGTCTTCTTCGAATCGTCATATGCGCCATCCTTGGGGTGTGCTCGATTATCACATGTACCTCTCACACATCGAAAGCAAACGCGACGAACTCCGTCGCAAGAAAGAGTGCCACCTCCTAGAGACCACTGGCTTCAGACAAGTCACCCTACACGACGAGCCGGAGCTCCACAATATCCGAGCCAGCACAAACCCCACAGTAGTCTTTGTGAGTCTTCCCGTCCCCGACATGCAGGACGACTGTAGCAACGCCAAGTTGGTGCTCGGCTTCGATCTGAAGTCCGACCACCTGCACGGTTATTTCTTCGAGTCCGGTTTTCCGATTGAGAACTACGAGGACCTCTGGCAGGCCTGGAATCAGGGTGGAGGCGAGCTTGTTGTTGATATTTCTGTCGAGCGTTTCCTGAGTGTTATTCGCCATACTATGCAGCAGCAGATTGAGATCCTCGAGATTGGCATCCTGCACCACTATGGTCTGACTACGCGTGTGTTCCAGGCTGGCCTGGATATGGTTATTGCTGTGCAGTTCTTGCAGTTCGTGGATGACTTCGCTGAGCTTCTTACTGAGGAGACTTATGAGCTTCGTGGACTTTATTTGCCTTTCCAGGATGAACTGCGGAATTTACTTGAGGGTGGCTCCCGGGATGCTTGGTTTGCTGTTCGTGATGGACTTGATATCCAGCAGTATCGTCAGAAGCAGTTGAAGAAGGTTGTTGCTTCCGGTTTGTTCCATGGACAGAATGCGGCCGTGCTGCGAGAGGGGCCTGAGAAGAATTCCCAAAAGGAGAAGACGTCTCGTCGCGTTAAGATTATTCCACGTCACTCGTCTCCATGGTCATGGTCGAAGCTACAGATGCAGGTCTTGGTGAGTGCTCTTTTCATTCTGTGTTTCTGTTCTGTCTTCCAGCGCGAGCGGGTTATGTGTGTGGGGATGTTTTGATCGAGGGCTTCATCAATATTATTTCAAAGTTTTCCGAACCAATTTTTAAGATGGTCCATAATTTTGGCAGGTACGGAGTAGTAAGTAGGGTTTCCGCATGTAGATCAGTAGATACAGTAAGGCTGTGGTAGGCCGAGGTTGAGCGGGAATCTGCGGATACATAAAAGTCTGTGCGTTATTCCATGACCCATACGGTAGGCATTATTAGATAGTTACATATTTATGTAGGTTTGTACATGTATAAGTACCCAAGACATGAAATCATGAAAATCATGAAAATCGACGAAAATCCATGAAAATCCAAGAAACCCACCCAGGGCCACCCTGATCGAAGCTAAAAGTGCACCGCCACCCTCACTGGCCCAATCAGGAATAGCCAGAAACAACTTATGTGGCGCTACGTGGCTAGACTGGATTGTGGCTGCTATCATCTTCTCTCCCATTGGTCAGGTCATCACCGGAAAGCCTTGGCAGCGTCAGAGCTGTTCGTTTGGAGTCGAGCTGTAACCTCCTTTATTGCCAAGGCAGCGGGCCCAAAGGTTCAGATCTGCAGCTCCCAATCTCGCTTCGTTTCTTGTTTACCTCAGCCCTGTAGCCCTATCACATTCGAGTCTGCCTAATTCTTTCCTTTCGTCCCTACCCCATTCCCGCTCAATTGTGTCTAATAACCCGTGAGACTGCGACTCGAGTCCTCGGTGCTTAATTCCCTCCTCCACCCTCCGGTGATATCCCTGAATCACATTAATTGCCTTTATTATGGCTGAATACAGCGCACAGCCCGTCAACGGTATAGGAAGCCCAGCCCAAGATCTGAAAGTTGCGCAAACTAACCAAGTATGTTTTGCAATCGCAGGGATGCCTCAAAATGGAGAAACGGGACAACAGCTCACGCGCGGCTCGAACGACCGTTTTGAGCTCATCTCCGGTCCCCTAATCAACCTCAAGAACATGCACTACGAAGCTACGACCACCTGGCACGGCAGTGTCTTGATTGTCACCAAGCCAACCCAGGAGCAGCCCCTACTGCGCCTACGCCAGGTAGGCGCCGTGGATAGCGGAACCCAGAACGACGATGGCAGGGTCCCGACAAGTCAAACAATCGAAGGCCTCAAGCTTTACGAGGATCCCCTGAAAGCGTTCTGGCGATTCTCGCTCACCGTACCAGTGGCCGCATTCGAGGCGCGCTGGGCGTACGACATCCCTGGTCTGTACAACGAGTCCGACGCCCAGGTCCCGACACAGTGGGAATTCGTTGTTCCTGCAGAAGAACAGTCCATGCGTATCATGTTCCACTCGTGCAATGGCTTCTCCGTCGGCACAGACATGAATGCCTGGGTGGGGCCGAACCTGTGGAACGATGTGATGCGCGTGCATGGCGAGAAGCCATTCCATGTTATGGTTGGCGGCGGTGACCAGATCTACAACGACGGTATTCGTGTGGATGGCCCGCTCAAGCCTTGGACTTTGATTTCGAACCCGCACAAGAGGCGCACCCATGACTTCGATAACAAGATGCGTGCTGATTGCGATGACTACTACTATGCCAACTATGTCCGCTGGTACAACACTGAGCCATTCCGCACGGCCAATGGCCGCATCCCCCAGGTCAATATCTGGGATGACCATGATATCATTGATGGATTCGGCTCGTACACGGATCACTTCATGAAGTGTTCTGTCTTCCGCGGTATCGGCGGTGTCGCTTTCAAGTATTACTGTCTCTTCCAGCACCATATTGCTCCTCCCAAGTCGACTTTCACTACCGATTCCCCGCAGACTATGCACGCTGTTAATGGAACTTCCGGTGTTGACCCGCGTCAAGTGGAGAACACCTACGTTTTGGAGAACCAGCTCGAAGACGACAGCTGGATCATTGGCAAACGGCCCGGTCCGTACGTTGAAGAGCGCAGCCGAAGTCTCTACATGCGCTTTGGCAAGCGCATTGCCTTTGTGGGTCTGGATGCCCGCACAGAGCGCACCCGCCATCAGGTCAATTACGAGGACACCTACGATCTCATCTTCGACCGGTTGCAGCGTGAGATCGCCGACGCTAACGGCGACATCAAGCACCTGGTGGTATTGTTAGGTGTGCCAATCGCATACCCACGTCTCGCCTGGCTGGAAAACATTCTCACATCCCCATTGATCGCGCCGATCCGGCTGCTGAACAAGCGCTTCGGTGTGGCAGGCGGCCTCTTCAACGAGTTCGACGGCCAAGTCGATCTCCTTGACGACCTGGACGACCACTACACTGCGCGCCAGCACAAGCGCGAGCGCAAGATGCTGGTCCAACGCCTCCAAGAGTTCGCCCGCAGCAACAGTGTGCGCGTAACGATTCTCGGCGGCGACGTCCACCTTGCCGCCGTCGGCCGTTTCTACTCGAACCCGAAACTCAATCTCTCAGGCGAAAACGACCACCGCTTCATCGTCAACGTCGTTAGCAGCGCTATTACAAATAAGCCCCCACCCCAGGCTGTCGCCAATCTGCTCGCCCGCAGAAACAAAATTCACCATCTTGACCGCGAATGCGACGAGACTCTCATGCCGTTCTTTGACAAGCAACCGGGCGGCAAGGAGAAGAGCGCCGCCTGGAATAAGGTCACCATGCCATCCCGCAACTACGCCATTCTCACCGAGGTTGTCACCCCAAGTCCCAGAAACCCCGGTGTCCTCGAAGGCAGTTCCGCGAAACTGGATCGTCTTCCCAAGGATGGCCATGCACCATTGCACAAGGGCGAAGTCGATGCCGGAACGACGCACAGCGCTGCTGATGGGTTTACCTGTGCAAGTGGCATGTATGGCGGACTTGACGTTGCCGTCCGTGTTGAGATCGACCCTCAGGACCGTAGTGCTACTACTGAGGGATATGGATTTAGTATCCCGCCCCTGTTGGCTACCGAGGGTCCCCCGTCTACCGGTCACCGACTTAGTCTGCACTCGCGCAGGTCTCAGGGCCGGCCGTCGACGGCTCAGTAATTGTCTTTTCTTTTCTTTTTATGTAGGGGGTTTCTGTATATACCTAGGTACCATATGCTACCGTTCGTAATGTTTGTTGTTTACTCATTTTTTTGGGGGGGGTTTCACATTCTTTTGATACCTCATTTTTCTTTTAATTTCTATAAAATCATAATTCATTCTCTATGTTCTATGTCTTATCCAGGTATATCCTATCCTATCACATCTCGAAGCCAATCTCGCAGATCAAATGCGGAGAACTTCCCCTCGCATGGATTCAGTTGCTTTTTAGGGTTAGGCCTGGCGTCAAGGTTTCTCTTATCTTGTCTTCTTTTATTTACTTCCAAACCAACTTTTTCGATTGATTATCTTTCTTGTGTATATGAAGATATGCAGATATGAAGAAACCCAATAGGAAGATACTATGCCCGTAAACCCCCCTGTAGCCTTAGTTTCACCTTTTTATCCTTGAGACGCCACTGCAAACCCGCGTTTATCTTCACCTATCGCTGCAGAATGCGAGACCCTTCCTCTTTCGGACTGCATTATTTACATATGTACTTTGGTGGCGTGTTATACGACATGAGAATCCTTGCTATTCGCTGCACCTCCGCATATTATTGGGTTACGCGTTGACTGTAATTCGTATCATCGGTGTATATAAATCCCTCCTCTTTCCGGTTATCCCAATAGCTTGCAAAAGCCAGCTATTTATATACTCCACTCCTATCCAACTGCAGACAACGTCTGCTGGACATATCCCTTCTAACTGTTGACCTGCTACCGTCATCATGGATCTCCAGAAGGAAATTACCCCTTCACCTCCTTCCCCCAAGACCATGAAAAGGGCACAATCGAAAACTTCGAACTAGACCGTCTGGGCTACAAACAAGAACTACGTCGCAACCGATCAGTCCTAACCCTCCTCTTCCAAACCCTCGCCATAGCAGCAATCCCCTACGGCGAAGGTTCACCCCTCCTCTCCGCCATCTATGGCGGCGGTCCCCTCTCAATATTCGTAGGCTGGATTGTTGTTTGCGTCTTCGATCAATGTATCGCCTTCTCTCTCGCCGAGCTCGCCTCCCGCTATCCAACCTCCGCAGGCCCTTACTACTGGACCTTCCAAATCTCCCGCGGCAACAAAACAACCCTCTCGTTCATCAACGCCTGGATCTGGCTAATCGGAAACTGGACCATAACCCTCTCCGTTAACTTCGGCTTTGCCTCCTTAATCTCGGCAACAGTCTCAATCTACCACCCAGACTGGTCAGCATCCAGCTGGCAGCTCCTCTTAATCTTCTACGCAGTCTGTCTTGCTTCCCTGGCAATTTGCATCTTCGCAAATAAACACCTCCCACTAGTCGACACCATCTGCGCCTCATGGACCCTACTCACAATAATAATCATCCTAATCGCCCTCTCCGTCAAAGCAGATACAGGTCGCCACTCACCATCATACACCTTATCCCATTACGATAAATCCTTCGCTGGCTGGGGAAACTTCACCTTCTTCATCGGCCTCCTCCCAGCTGCATACACCTTCTCCGCAATAGGAATGATCACCTCAATGGCAGAAGAATGCGCAGACCCAGCCGTGAAAGTGCCCCGCGCAATATCACTCTCTGTCCCAGTCGGCGGAACAGCGGGTCTATTCTTCATCATCCCCATCTGCGCAACTCTACCCCCGCTGGAAGATATCATCAACGCCCCAGCTGGCCAAGCCCTCCCTTACATCCTAGCTCGCGTAATGGGTTCCCCCGCCGGTGGTCTCGGTCTCATCTCCCTCGTCCTGGTGATAACAGTCTTTTGCTCGATTAGTATAACCGTTGCTGCATCGCGCGCGACCTGGGCCGTCGCCCGTGACGACGCCATTCCGCTGGCGAAAGTATGGGCGCGCGTCGATGAGCGCTGGGGCGTGCCAGTTTGGGCTTTGGTTTTGTTGACGGGGATTCAGATGTTGTTGGGGTTGATTAATCTCGGGAGTTCGAGTGCGTTTACCGCGTTCGTTTCGGTGGGTGTTATTGCCCTCGCGGCGGCTTATGCTATTCCTATCTTTTTGAGTTTGTGGCATGGCCGTGAGGAGGTTGCTAAGGCGCCGTGGACTTGTGGTGGGATTCTTGGAAGGTTTGTGAATGTTGTTGCGTTGGCTTGGATTGCGTTCGAGTTGGTGTTGTTTAGTATGCCGACTGCTTTGCCGGTTACGGCTGTGTCGATGAATTATGCTTCGGTTGTTTTTGTTGGGTTTATGGCGATCTCGGGAGTTTGGTATATGGTTTATGCGAGGAAATGTAAGTTTTTTCTGGACTGGACTTGGGTATTGGTGATTTTGATGCTGACAATTGATAGATTATAAGGGACCCCCTGAATCGGATGCTCTTGATTGAGGATGGGATTTATATCATAACTCATGTATACAAATTTGTTGAGAATTACTCTTCATTCTTATTAATTATGGAATCCAGGCTTGTTTTAATGATTCTAATCCATTCTCATAGTCCAGGCATAGTGATATTGAATCCCCAAGCCCCTGAGAAGGTGATGCATTAGTGCAGCTGCAGCCGAAGCAGCTGGGCACAACTGTGCTTACCCCCGCCCTGGGAGAATCTTCTTTTCCACCCTTTGATAACGATCTTAATATTCAATTTTATTCCTATAAGCTACCGATATGAGAAACAAGAAAGATGCCAAAAATGCCGTCATGGGAATTGCCAAGGAGTATGGGTTCATTGAAAAAGAGATCATGAATCAAATGGCACCCAACGTGCGACTCGCCGTAGAAGAGAGCATGCTCGCTAGGGACAAAAAAAGTTGGCCATGCAATCAAAACGTTAGTATGTCTCGATGTATTGAATTATTGTTAACTGGTCCCATTTAGCCTGGCCAAGCATATTTACGCTAGTGATGCCTGCTGCGTTTTCGAACTTCTTCAAAATGCGGACAATAATCACTTCACGAATGCCAACGCTCAAGGCGAATCACCTTTTATCGCATTTAAGGTCCACCCAAATCGCATCGTGGTCGAATGTAATGAGGATGGGGTCACAGCAAGCGACCTTTCCGCCATTTGTACGGTCGGAGAAAGCACCAGATCAACCTCACCTGGATATATTGGAGCCAGGGGAATCGGGTTTAAATCTGTTTTCATTGCGGCATGGAAAGTCCACATCCAGTCTGGTCATTTTTCATTCTCTTTTCAACACAAAAAGGGTGATCGGGGTCTCGGAATGGTTCAGCCAGTCTGGGAAGACACTGGCGATGTCCTACCCAATACCTTGACCCGGATGACACTATATCTCCACGAGGAAGGGGATCCACAGGAAATCGACTTCCTGCGTCAGACAATATTTAAGCAACTGAATGATCTTCAGCAGGCATGTCTGCTTTTCCTGCGAAATTTGAAAGAGATACGGGTCTTTTTCTACAATGACGACGGGGGACTGAAAAACTCCAAGAAATTCAGTGTTGGAGACATTCACGACTCTCGCTATTCTCTCGAAACTGAGATGACAGACGAGAATGGCCATACAACTGTGGAATACAAACATTACCATGTCACGAGACAGATGGCAACCGATCTTCCAAAAAGAAACAATCGCGATAGACCCGATACAGAAGAAGAAGAAGGAGAAGCAACACGGGCGGCCTTAAGAGCAGAGATTGCCCTAGCGTTCCCTCTCACTCACCTGAACAAGCCGCTGCTAGAACGGCAAGATATTTTTGCGTTTCTTCCAATCAGGGAGTCCGGTTTCAAAGTGGGCAGGACCAGCATTGCCTCTTCATAATATGAATTTACTGATCTTTGCCACAGTTCCTAATACACTCGGACTTTGACACCATTGCAAGCCGACAGGACATTTCAAATTCGAGAAGAAACAGGGCGCTCCAAGGCTGGATCTCACAAGCATTTCTCAAGGCTGTTTTAGAATTCTGCGAGGATCCAGATTTGTGTTATTCATGGCCAAGGTTTCTTCCCGTTACGGAAGGCAATGAAAATAACTTTTGGTCAGACCTATCCAGCTCAATCAAGCAGCTCATTCATGAGACTCCTATTTTAAAATCCCAGTACAGCAGCAGCCTGCGGAAGATCGACGATGTCGTCATACCTACTCCAGATTTTATGGATGAAAATCGAAGTCCGCTTCTCGAGGATTCTACGCTGGACCCGTTTCTCTCAAACAAGTATCCGCCCGACTGTGTACAATCTCTGAAACCCTATGGTCTCGAAAGCATGAGCCATGATCTTGTTATTAGGATGCAACGAGATGACTTGGAGAATCAAGCCTCGAAGATGAAGTCTGAAAAAACCAGCGCAGAATGGCATTCACATTTTGCGAAGCTATTGTTGCAGGTTGATAAAGGATCTATTAGCAAACTTGCCCTCATTCCCCTCAGATTTGGCAAATGGGTTTCTGTCAGCGCTTGGTCCGTATACATGCCAACCACAAACGGGATTCCCATCCCACCGGGAGTGGATATGCAAATAATAGAGTCAACAGCGGTTGCCAACAAAGACAGACACCGACTGTTCACACACCTTGGAGCTACCGAGGCAAAAGTCTATGCGGTCCGCCAGTACATTCATATGCACCACGATATCTTCGGGCGTTGAATTAGTAGGGCGAATTCAATAGCCCATTTACGCTACTTGTACTTGACCCATGTGGATGAGGTGGAATCATGTTACAAAGATATAGCCGTCCACAGTGAGGACGGTCATGTAGGGTATCCGCATCGAGAAGACTTTTATCTCCGTACGGGTCACCCTTATGGGCCGGAGTCGCTTCTCCCTACGGACAACACACACGGCCTCCAACTGTTTTTCCTCCATCCAGAATACCTTGAAGATGCTACAATTATCCCAAGCTCAGAACATCGATCGTGGAGAAACTGGCTTCGACGTCTTGTTCATGTGCATAAAAGACTAAGTCTTATCTCTCGCGATTGGGATGATCTCTCGGAGTCTTTGAGATATGTCGCGGAGCACCGACCAGAAAGGTTTCTTGGTCTGCTGGGATATCTTTGGAAATACGATGGCGACTCAATCAGTCGAGATGATGAACTTGTACAACTGATCAAGGACACAAACGCAAGCAGCTTTTGCATGACTGATATTTCACCGACAGACATCGACCAAACCTTTCTTCCTCTACCAGGTCTCCAGCAACTCTGTTCACGCTTCATGGAAGAGAATGAACCGTTCCCCTTTTTGAAGATCGATGAGATAGCCTCCTCGGAAGAGCTCAGCCCCAAGTGGATGTTTCTCCATACTGTCTTTTCAGTTGGCAAGGATGACAACTTGGAATTCTTCCTTAAGATATTGTGGTGGATCAATGCCGAGGGCCGCAAAAACCCTGATGATCTCCATTTGAAAAACCCGCAACGCATATTGGATCTATACATCACGATTGACTCAAAGTGCCTCAGCACACAAGATCCAGAGGCTGCAAGGAGCGATGTCAGGTTAGATATCGAGACTGAACAGCTATAAATGATCTACTGACAATTCTACACAGAGAGTACATTGAGGATTACAATCTAATTTTTACGCCGCACCCTGGCGATCCTAAGAATTATGCTGCTGAATGGTTTAAATTGAAGCCATTTCGATGGGATAGTCCATCAGATATGCTGTCAACTTATTGCCTTAAACATAGCTACTCACAACTGGTTGACGAAGATCAGCTGGACCAACTTTCACGGTTCATGAAAAAAACCATGTCAATTCCGGATTGCTCTTGGGAGGACATGATAATCGAGCTTGAGGTCATAAGGGATAATTGTTTCGAAGATTTGGATCGTGTCTTTGTCATATATGAATGGATAAGCAAGCTCGAGACCCTTGCGTTTGTCGATGAACTCAGGTAGGTCTTAGACAGACCCGTGTAGCAAACCGATGACTGCTGACTTTGAAATTGCAGAAATTAATTCCAGACCAAAGACCTGATATTCGTGGTCAACCATGGGGAACCTGGTTGGTACAAGAGCTCGGAGTGTTTATGGTCCACAATAGAGATTCGAGGGAAAGTTACCCTAAACGGCCACTACGAAGATTTGGAGAACTTCTTTATAGAGAGCCTAGGGATCAAAACGCTCACTTTGCAAATGGTCTATGACGAATTACTTCAAGCTGGTCCCCAGATGACACACAGTGAGATCAAAGCCAAGATTTGGTCCCTCAATGCGCTTCTCCAAACAGAATCAGGATCACAATCCAGCCTTGTCGACCCAGATTCTTTGATGCAGGCCTGTGTGCTTCCCATCATCAATACTGACGGCACAAAATCTCTAGTTACTTCAAGTGCTGAGTTTGCCATCGCAGATCAAGACTACTTGGCCGTAAACTTTCAGGGCCGCATCAAATTGCTTGATTACAGCCTTGAGGATGTCGAACATCTGAGCGCCTTCTTCAAGTGGGCTAAGCTTACGCATCGCTACTTGTCTACTGCGGTTAGAAAGTTCACATATGTCCCTGGGGAGACAACGCGAGTCACACCCAGGCGTGATCGAGACTTGACACGAAAAGCGCATGGTCTTGTGCGGTGAGTGTTATAATCAGGTTTTCCTTTTTACAGGATTCTCACTGACTAGAACTCCCAAGTGTTGCGGCAACGTTCAATAGTCCTCGGTACCGGATCGATCCGGCTAGGTTGTACGAAATGCTTCGCACAACCAGCATTGAAATGGCCAACGGCATCACCTCTGTCTTGAGCATTACCCAAGATGGAAATGTAACAGAGGTGGAAGAATCAACTGGCAGTTTGCATATCAACGAAACCCCAACCGGGTTAACAATATACGTCCCCTTGGACAAGAAGGAGCAGGAACTCTGCTTCAGCTCCCTCCTGTCCGTCCAGCTCACAGAATGGCTGATGCAAGATCCTATCACACAAATTTCAGAGAAAGTTGACAGCTCCTTGTTGACTGCAATTACAACACTTCTAAGCAGTGACCCATCGATCATAGATATGGTTCTTGCCCTCCACGGAATCAGCGGAATTGAGCTCCCTAATCAGGATCCCATAGACGACGATCCAGAATGCTTGCAGTGCTCTATCACGCCTGACCTGTCAATCACCACTGGAGAGTCTACGGAGCTCATCTACACTCCATCCATGTCAAGCAGTCACACCCACTGTGGATGGCCTAATCACTCATTTCCTACTGCGTACAGTCCTCCACATCCTATATTTTCACCATCTGGAGATTCCTCGGAGCAGGATACGTGTTATCGAACGCTTCTCAATGAAGTAACAAGAACAGCAAGAAGAGCCTCTTTTCCCTAACACATCTGTTACATGAGTGGTATCAATGAGGCCCTGCCTAGAGAAGATTTCCTGCAGATATGGCAAATAGAGAGACAGAGACTTGATAATTGGGAAACCGTAACATATTCAATTTGTTATAGGTTAGTTATCCAGCAACAGTTGCGTTTCAAGACAAGACGTTCTATAAATTCGGACTTTTTTCATGCAGTATTAGCACACGAAAAGCTAGCGCTGCCAGGGTTGTTATGGATGGCCGAGCCGGAAGCATAGAGGCCGAGAACACACTATGTCAAGATTAGTTAGCTAAATGTTTATAGCTATCCATGAGAGAATAAGAAATACTCACTAGAGTGATCCCAACACCTATCGCGAACGTGTTGAGTAATGTCAGCATGATCTTCTTAGGAGAAGAAAACCACAGCCCCTTATTCATGTGTAACCAAAACATTCCGGTAAATCCAAAGGTAAACCAGCTACCAAATAGTGCAGTCTGTTGGTTCAAGCACAGATTAGATATATCGATTCAGAAGATAGTGCACAGCCAACACTCACAATTAAGCTGAGAAGGTTGTTGAAGACTGGGATCGCTTCAGCGATGACCCAGGCGATGACCCAAAGACCAAATGCAATACCAACCCAGGAACCCGCAGACACCCAGTCTCTTTTGTGCATCCGGTCAGTGCCAGCAAAGATGCGGACGTAAAGAGATTTGGCTGCAACGTGGCCGTTGATGACTCCAGCAATGACAATCTTCTATAGTCAGCTTTGACACCCAAGCATGGGGAGTGAATCTTACTGTAGGAAGGGCTATTCCGTAGGCTATCCTAGAAATCAACAGTCCAGCTGAGCCTAGGGCGGGGGAGGCAACATCTGCTCCAGTAAAACGATATATGACAACGGCGGCGACGATGTAAAGGGTCATATCAATAGACTGTAGAAGTGCAAGAGCCTTGGGGAAGTCTTTTGGGTCCTTGAGCTCTGCCATGAATGTGAAGAAGGTATTGTGGCTGACTGTAGATAGTTAAGCTGGTGTTTTTGGTTTCATTTCCAGTCGTGCTCACCATATGAGAATGCGATATTGCAGGCGGACATAATTCCAGTGACAAGGTTGGCCTCAACAATTGGCTTCACAGCGACACCGTCGTTTTGTATTCCGAGGGCGATCATCGTAACCATCACGGCAGTGAAAATACTAATGAAGGCTGGTCATAATTAGAATTTAGGAATTTCAGATCAGACATGGATAGGTTTTTTAACTCACAAACAAGTGAAAGCCAGGACATTTTCTCCAGAGTTCGAGGAAGAGAAAGAATCAAAGATAGGATCAGTCCAACAACACCGAACACAATCGAGCAGGTGGCATGGCCAGTAATAGAATTGAGAGCCACAGTGAAGGTTAAAATGTGACTAGCCATTAGGAAGATCAGGAAGAGCAATTGGCCAGTTCCAAACAACTCTCGACCGAACGGGCCCATCAGCACCTCACCGGCATCAGCCATACTCGAGATATGAGGATGTCTCCATTTGAACTGCCCAATGACATAGCCTGTGTAGGTAGAGAGTAGACCAAGCCCAACGAGGATGATCAGCCCTGGAACCAGACCTATCGCAGCTATAGCGGCTGGTAAGGAGAGAATTCCTAGAGAGATGGTTTCGGCAACCATTAGAAGGCCTCCTTGCCTAGGACCATCAGTAAATGAGAGAGGAATTGCTGATAGTTGGTTACATACCACCATTTCAGAACCTTGTACTTGATTTCTGCATTTGCTTCATCCCCAAAAGCATCCTGTCGTTGTTCAGTAAGATCAGGCTTTTCTAATTCCCCGTGTAGGCTTTCTGCATCTTGAATTGTTGGCCCAGTCTCGATGGGACTGGGTATGTCAATAATTTCTGATCTCATATTGGAAGTGCTTATAATGGAAGAGTAGGGATATGAAGAGTGTATATTTTAGCCAAAATGGATATCGTCAGGTAAAGATATATAAGAACTATAGGGAAAGGCATTCCCCTAGACCCCGGGAAGTTGCGGGGAAGCCCAAGGATTGCCACTCTCCTTCCATTTACAGATATTATGAAGATTGACTAGTACGAATCACTAGATACGTTAGATAGTGATGATGAGCAAGACTCTATCGACGCCCTTATCTGTCTAGACGGAATCCCCTCCCTGGTTTTTATAGGGTCAGAACCGTGGAAACTGTAGGAAATAGGCCGATGAACTAGTCCTTCAATTGAATGGTTTGGATTAACTGCCTTGGCTAAGCTGGTACTTATTTGATGATCTCCCCAGATGTTTACCCCAGGTTTCTATCACACCTCATTTCCGTGAATAATCTACATATGTAATTTTTTTCAATTTTTTAGGGTTGACTCTTGCAACGGCCCGTTCGGAATCACCTTCCTTCCCGAAGAGATTTTCCCTCTCGGAGTTTCGGCGTTCATGACCAATGCCTAAGTGTCATTATCTATAAAGTGGGAACGAAATAACTCACTTGTATCCATTAGACCCACGGCTTTGTCGATAGGGATCTATGAGGGAACTTTAATAATAGCGGCTCCCTCGGACAACAGAAATCGGGCAAATCCAAGACTTATACCGAGGGTACCTTGATAATAAGACCTCCAGAGGGCAAGTGATTCCGATAAGAAGATATTATATTAGACGGCCCCAGGAATGAAGGAATGACTTGTGGTGGAAGCCAGACTCGTCATAGTCCATTGTCGAGTACCATGCCTGATGCATGGTAGAAATTACTAATTATTTACGGACCGGAAAATAGTAAAACCCAGACCCTGGGTCTTAGTAGCTACCTAAAAACTAGCTGAATCAGCTAAATTATAGATATAATTAGCGTGTTCCTAGAGACGAGCTAGTACTCCGTACTGCAATTTCAAACCGCCAAAAACTCGTGTTCTAATCAGCCTCCTGCCCCACTTATCATGTGGTCGACCTACTCAGCGTTCCCGGGGGCAGTGCTTGTATTGAAAAGAGAGGCTATATGATTCCCTTCGCAGGGTGGCTGTTTTTTTCGCAGGAAGAGTAAGAGGACGATGTCCATATATTTACCTCCTCCCTCTGTACTTCTCTACTGTCCCTTTCCTCCTACCTCAACGCCTAGGACAAAACAAAAACATATAACTAGAGAAGTATACGTGTCACAAATCAAGCCCCGGAACATACATGAGGCGCAGAGCGCGGGGCGCTCCGGACTAGTCATTATGGAGGACCGCATGCAGGCCACGTGTGGGGAGGCCTGCGGGAGCTAACCAATAATAAAGGGATCAAGGGATCATTCGGACAAGAACACGATCCAGTACAAGGTATCCGATAGCTAGACAGCTATATAGTCACTTGTTCAAATGGACTCTGGGGCTCATCAGTTGTCAATACCAGTCACATCTGGCTACGAGCAACAGTACCCTTTTGTGATTGAGACCAGTACTCGGTTGTGCACCTTCTGGCTGCACCGAATCTTTCCAGCGTTTGCGATGCCTCCGGAGCCCTCTCAGAAGAGGCTGGGTCCCCAGATTCATCACGATACGCCGCGTCTCTGTCTTTCTGTAATTCCTGCTCCACAAACACAAAGCATATCATAGTATGCCATCCCATCTCCATCGCATTCGCTGCATGTGGAAAATGCATTTTCTGCACCTCCACAGGTTGGGCAAGGGAAACTTTGGGACCATGACCCTTCATTGTTACATACATAGCAGCCATTGCCCTCACAAGTGCTGCAAGGATACGTGCTCAAGACCCAGCCCTCGCCACGGCAATGATCGCAGGATACCACGTAGCCGGTTCCACTACAATGTCCACATTGAACATCGTAGAATCCACGGTCGTAGCACCGCGAGCAGTTCAACATCCGAACTATCACACCAGCGTTAATAGATCGTCATGACATAGACTTCCTTATCCGGGCTATTATACCGTATGCAGCTTGAGCCTAGCGACTCAGATTCGATCGAAAGTAGCTACAAAAAAGCAAAGGTCGAATCGTTCATGCAGAAAGATGCCAGCTGCGTCAAGGGAAAGGATTATTGTATACGCAATACTGCTCTTTTCAGAACTCAGGAGTCTTTCTGGATGAAGGAACTCGAGGGTTGGCCCTACCTTGTTGTATGGCCTGCTCCTCCAAACGATATGATGTGATGGAGATCCGGGGCTTGAGGCTGGAAGCGTGAAGCAAGGAAGATAGAAAAGATCAGGGGAACTGGTAGGGTGGCTTTTGTACTTCTCAAGTCGCCTCAAGTGAGTCGCGCGCGGGGCGGCTGGCTGCAAAAAGATAAGAGGGCTACAGTCTGACGGATTTCCTAAGCCCAGCCCGCAGCAACCCGACTAGCCTCGCATAGCCTCTTTTTTTCTGGCTCCTCGGCCAAGTTGGCACCAACGAAAGGCGGCCACACATTGAACTACGGAGTAAATAGGGACGGTTAAAACGCCACGATTACACGTGGCTTTTGGAGGGAGAATCGTGACATAGATATATCGGCCCTTGGTTGATCCCTACGTATCTCCCTTGACACAGTTACATGATTAGATGGTAAAATACCCGTAAGATCAAAATTACAAGGATGATAGATAACTTCCCCGCATTATCGCACGTCCCGTTGGAAGAGCGAAATATTTCCAGCAGTTTACTAGACGCCTTGACGGCTGTAAGAAGGGTTTGAGAAAATAATGTTGATTGGAGGTCTTAATCCAAGACCTTCTAGTCCTAGCTCAGCAATAATATTTCATATAGCTGATGACCGATGCTGCTCTAGACCGCTGCCGTCCACACAATATCTTCTGATAGAACAGCCTCTAGGGATACAACCTGGGTCCAACCGAGACCGGACGAAGAATACCCTCTTGTTCCATTTGCGCGACCATGTCAGCTAACATAAGATCGCACCCTCGGGCAGCAACCAAGCTCATTGTCACGGGGAGATATTCCATTTTACCACTCTTGGTACTATTGTAAGGAACCTCTCCAACTACAAAGCAGTCAGCATTGCATTCGGCAAAAAAGAGCACAATAGGATGACACAATACTCACTCGGGACGACGAGGTCAGGAACACTAGCGAAGACAGCGATGTTGCTGTCGCCCATTCCCCAATACGGGGCAGTTGGGGGTCTAAAGCATTCGTTAGCATGTCTTTGTAAATATAGATCCTGCGATCTCCAACTTACCCCAAGTATCTGTCGCGGTAGCTCACGGCTCCAACGCTATTTGGATAAATGTACACCGACTCAGAGCAGGTTTTGTTGTTTCGAGCGCCGAATCCGCTTGGACTATTCCACCAGTCCATGAAGATGGTCTTATTATTCCAGGCCGTGTCAAATCCTTGCTGCCCGGCTTCTCTTCCAATATTCCAGCGTAGGAGAGGACCTGGGTTAATATATGGGGTACGTCCTGAGTGCTTCTTGGCGTAATCAGCGAAGAACGGCAGGCCTAGGTGAAGCCATTGGTAAACACTGATGAGGGTTCCATAGGTCTGATTAAGCAGAAGTTAGAAAATCAATGCAAACTTTGGCCCTTTGACTCTGATATACGGTAGTCTCCAGAGATAGGAATAAACACTCACATAATGAAGCAAATCATCCAAAGAGGCAGTCGCGTTAGCAGGACGTGTCGTATTCCAGGATCCACGAACATCAATAACGGTACGTTTGGTACCCAAAAAGGCCTCGAATTGAGTAACAAAGCGTTCAATCAAAACTGAAGCATCCGTGTTGTTAATAGCATCTGCGGTGAAAGAGTTCTCGGGGTACAAAATGGAACTGGGGTAAGAGTCAAATCGGCTATCAAACCGCTTATACCAAGCATGAACAACACGCGACCACAACGCAGCGCTGCGAGCAAATACTCCTGCAGTATCGAGACCAGAGCAAAGTGGAATAACTTCATCCAGGTCTACTGCACCTGTGGAAGGCCGGTTTCCGAAAAGCCCTTGGGCACCAGCTGGGCCGCGCATCGAGCCGCCCGTGTCACTTCCTACGGCAATATCGAGCCATTCATAGGATCCCATTCCTGCGCCTGGGCCAGTTGAGGAGCCGCTGGGGTATTGATATCCGTCGCCCTTGTAAAACCGTTAGCCAAATCCGCCTTGGGGTTAAGACACAGAATGCTCACCCGAGGATTGAAGGGACAGTGGATATCAACCCAATCCGCTGTTGGGCTATCGCCATTGGCAAATTGAACGGTTCCCATTTTTCCAACAAGGACTGCGCCTTGATCAATAAGACTTTGGATGGCTGGGCCAGTGGTGTTGCGTTCGTCGTAGAGTGAGTAGTATGCGCGATTGCCGCCACTTGTTCGCAGACCCTTGACGTGAAAAATATCCTTTACGCCAAGTCGGAGCTATCGAGGAGTAAGAAATTTGCTTATATAGTTAGGGGGATGTATTCCTTTGTGGTACGTACACCGGCCAATGGCTGCTCTGGTGTAGCAGTATAGTATAACCGTGATGGAACGGCAATACTATGTCCCTATGAGAGGTTAGCTTGGTTGATCTTGCTAAACGAAGTCTGTTTATTTATGTTACCTGAAATCCTGGAGCCAGTGAGATGTACCCGCCCTTCTCGTCGCTGATAGCTGGCTCAAGGAAGGCTTGGTTATCATCTGAGTAAAGCCTATGAGCCTTGAATATTTTGCCGCTCTTCGCTGAAACAAAGTAGGGACCGATCGGGAGAGGTTTTGTAAGACGAGTCTTGACTGTAGATTCCAGTCCCTTATTGGCATATTCCGGTGAGACCAGGAACAGCGAATTGCCATTGTTAAGCAGTGTAGAAAATGTTGACCGTATCTCGACGGACGGGGTTCCATCTCCATTGTACGCCACATACACAGCTAATAGCCATATCCTTATTAGCAATCTATCCAATATTACACAACTTGGAGAGAGTTGGAGGATCGGTACCTTTCAAGAATGCGGTATTAAACACATCATCTCTGTTCGTATAGTCGGACACAATCCCATCTAGCTCGTGACCTGTGAAGCTTGATGTATTGCTAGAGATGATCGTCAGAGGGAATATATCAACCTCGGATATGCACAGTTCCTCATAGATTGACACAGGTACGTCCAATATCTGGGAAACAGCCACATTGCCAACGTAGTAGGGAACTCCGTTGAGCTCTATGGTCCGCCCTTGTGCAGAACTCAATCCATTGACTGGGTTGAAATTACCCAGAAAGGAAACTACACTCAGAGCTGCCGTGAAGGCTCTCGTCCATTGTCGATGGAATTGGGCCATATTAACCCACGTCGATCGAGAGTATATTGCACACCAGTTTTGCGGTCAGTTGAAAGGCTTCCATACTTCATTTTATACATCCTTATTTCAATAGAAATAGCTTATCGCGACAAGAACTCCATTTCTATGACTAGTCAAAAGATTCAAGTCTTTGATTGTTATCAGAAAGTCAGCAATCGTAACTTGGAGTACAATCCCCATAACCAAGCCCTGCGTGGACCTCGTATCTAGATTGGAATTCTCCACGCTAATTTTCCACGTGGGAAATTGCAGTTAATAATCGCAATCTCATATATGTCCCAGGTTAAATCAAAGATGCCTCATTGATTCATGATTTAGTATGGAACACTGAGCTTAGCGAATTGATAAGGATATCAGTCTGCCCGTTAGGTAAGTCCAATTGCTATTAACGGTTATCGTGATTGCTTCCAATACGATTCGAGTACCCCGAGAGCCATGTCAATGGCTATTTCTTGGAGTCTTGTTGGGGTATGTTGGAGACTTGGAGAGTAGTGGCTTTTTTCGCCCCGGAGTTAAGCACCTTGCTGACATGGTCCCACTTTGCCAATGTCTATATTATAGAATCTTAACAGGCTTATCTTCCCAGTTCTGTTTGATTTGTGCTTAGATGTTGGCTGTGTATAGATTTTGGCAATTATAAGAAAGGGGTTGAGCAAGCCTCATTCGATACCAAAAAAAGACCATCTGAGAGAAAAAGTGAATATGAAATTTCAAGGTAGGAAAGAATAAGCCATCCCACATTCTCCTCGGCAAACCCTCGAACCCAACAGTCACCTTTAAGGTCAACTTTTCTCCTGCTACATCTGAAATCCAAGGCCTTGAACCTCCTCTACCATCGCATATGATGGCTTCATACACCATAATGGGGAGTTATCCCAGTACAATCCTAGCACTCGCAGCCTTCAGCAGTTTGACCGCACATGTTCTAACTAGACGTTACAATGAACAGCACAATATTCTGCTAGTACATCAAATGGGGCCTTAGACAGTAAATGGAAACTGATGTATTAAGTTAACTTGAATGCGGTCGCGATTGGTATGGCATTGTTGTTTTTAATATCAAAAATATAGATACTACTTTTACATCGGATTCTATCGTTACACTAGAACACGGATTGTATAAATGAATAATGGATTGGGTTCTCAATTCGATCACTCCCCAAGTAAGGGTAAATAATTCACTAAATCCTGAAACACCTCAGACTCATCACAAGAATTTTCAACAGCATCTAAATGGAAAGTGAATAAACCCTCCTCTCTGGGTGGGGATTGCGATAATTCAGTCTTAAGGCCCGAACGCAGATCGTCCATGGCCTCCATCGAAACTGTATCAGACATCCCGACAGATATATCAAACTCAGATGTGCTCGATACGGGTAAATCAGAAGGTGAAGGCGTATGACTTGCCCTAAACGATATCGAGTTCGCCTCAATAGCATCATGCGTGAGAGTCATCGATTCGTCGATGTAACGTAAAAGTTGCATATACTCTCTCGGCCGCAGCTGGAATACCTGTGGTGGGTATTTAGTGCCAAAACGCTTGTCTTCTCTGGCTGTATTGACAGAAGACGCTCTAAATTCCTGGCAGAGCCAAATAGCACTCGACATTAACCTCAGGGTGCGACCGGTGTAATACCTCATGCTGTATTGGCGGTTGACTTCGGTTAATAGCACCAATATCGTTTCTTGTTGTATTTTGTCTTCAGGCGGGGATAGCTGTGACTGCACGCTGAGCAGAATCTGAGGTAGCATTGTATATGCCACACTGCAAGGTTTTAGATATTCTGGTTAAAAGCTTTGGATCAAATATGGACACGTACGCACTGATGGGCAGTCTATCAGCAACCCTGTTGGTCAAGAGCTGCTTCACATTGTTTGTTATTGATGCAACTGACGCTACAAGCTCTGATTGGCAGCGCCCAAATCTCTCCATGTCTGTTTCGTCGGTCAACAAGCACATGCGGCTGCAGAGAGCAATCCGAGCGGAACTTGTCACATATCGTAAGTGCCTTGTCTCAATATCACTAAGCAATTTTGTTGAGCTTACTGGTGGTACATCGCGATGAGGTTGGTATATAACGCTATAGACGGGTGGGAATAGAAGCCTCTGCTGTCTATCTGCCCCATCCAGTCTAGCTCCCAATTGCGCAGTAAGAGCCTGGCCCTTTCCAGATCCTCCATGGCGGTATTCTGGTGGTTTGCTTTTGATGCTGATACTTTCGCTACTGGGTAGAGTGTCAAAGTCAAGTCGGTTACAGCAACGACGAATTGGCACAGGCTAGCCAGCACCTGACCGAGGGCGGATTTTGTGTCAGGCTTATAAGCTTCAGAGTTGGCAATCTCATCCTTGAGATCCTCTAGTGTTATCCCACGCTGTTTCAAATCAAAATCCTGCGGGAGAATTTGGATCGGACAGCGCATTCCAAGGGATATGATGCGATCGCGAATCAGACAGCACCACCAGACTCGTTTCATCTTGGGCATATGCTTTTTAGCCAGATAGTGATACCGGTTTATATGATCAAGTTTGGCATATTTTATGGCGATTCCTAGCCATTCAGAGTTTGCCGACGGTTCTAAATCGGAAATGTAGTGCGAAAGCAGCAGGGACGCCTGGCAAATAGTCAATGGGTCGTCTTCAATGTCACTTTCATATAGTAGCTAGAAGATAGAAGACTCTTTAGCGGCTATTCAAATTTAAGTTAAGGGAAAGCGTACCTTAGATTTGACGTACAATGCGTCTCGCAAGGAGATTAAGGAGTCGTAACCACACCGTTGAGCTGCCTCCACTGGTATGAACTAATAACATATGAGATCATGTTTCCGTGGTCTAGAGATTCACTCACACAGCTAGCAGCAAATAGCATTGCATGGAAGAGCAAAATTGAAATTCCATCACGATGGACATTGAAAAGCCGGTATTCTTGCCAAAATCTTGCCTCATCGAGCAAGGGAAGGAATGGATGCACGTATAAAAAGTAATTGTGCACAAACATATCTGTCACACTCTTGGTTGGAAGGTGGAGGCATCCTTGCGACTCAAGAAAGGCAACTTGTGTTGGGTTCAATTGTCTTAATCCGGTGGCTTTGACGAAAGGGTAGAAGGAAAAAGGTAGTGAAATGACGGAAAGAACATCTCCTGATAGACGCAATTCAGTTGTGCCACAGAATAGCATTTGAAAACAACGTCTGACATACCACAGTTTGATTTGGTGTTAGATTCATCGCGACATCTGCGATATCTATGTTTCTTGAAGTTATGTTGCAAACGGCGTACTGCATGAGCACCTTCATCATTGAGCGTTGATCTTTCTGATTGTTTGACCAATGCGCCATTTCGTGGACCAGGCAACGGCGCACAGTCATAATTATCCAGACGACAATTTGTACAAGGAAATCCATTCACAACACCATCGCATCGCACCTTCCGAGAATGACAGTGTTGGCATGCACGCCAAGCCCTTTTTCTGGATGTTCTAATCTGGCCGGACAAATTCATTTTGAACTTTGACGCCGTTGATAAAACATGGAGTCGAGAGGTGAGGGGTTAGAAATCCGGGGTCCGGGGGGAAGTATGAAATTGTGGGGAAACATGACATCCGAGATGCGCCTCGGCAATGCTACAGCTTCCGAGCCACCTGTGGCAATTGAGAGGCTGTATTGACTACAACCAAACAACCATGGATATATATAGAGTGAATAGGACAGGTGTTGACATCAACAATTCATCAAGATCTTCAGACCAACTCTTTCACCTTTAGAACTTCTCCAAGATTAATAGCGCTAGATTAATTATCTTCACTTCTTTATTTCTTTATATCCATGGATAAGACGCGGTTGGTAACTAGCCGGTGTAGCGAAGGCCCGCTACTACTACTACTACTAGCTGACCTCCTACATGTAATCTTGTTATTCTGGATCTTAAGGCGACTAATCTTATTAAATTAAGCTTCTACTACTCGTTAGGGGTCTTAGGTATTAGATTATTTAGTCGATGGTATTGATATGCTTAGGACTAGGGTGTATTACGAGTTTGGCTACCTTTATATTGGCTTTTTCCGGTATCTGCCTGGATAATAGTAGCGGTGTACTAAGGAAATTCATAATTTATATAGTTATTGGTCTTAGTTTGTTTACACTATCTATAACCTTTGTCTAGACACTTATTCCCATTTTCCTTTTAGGAATGAATCTGGACTCCGACGCAGCATGGATTCTCATCCATATAAAAAAGGCGTCTTCTCATACTTTTCAAATATAACGGAATATCAGCTGCTCCCCCCGTCTCGTACGCCAATAATTCGTCGACTGCATCAATTCAGGACAATTCCGAAGAACCCATTGCCATTTCTTCAAGAAAGGCTCTGTCACCTCCCAGTTTCGCACATCCCAGGGCTCTCCCCACACCAGTAGCCCAGCGTCGAGATTCGAAACGTCCCAAAATCCCATGATATCATTCCAGAGTTCGTCTTCATTCCAAGTTTTGCCAGCTTCGATGAGATTGTCGCGCATCTTGGGTAAGGGAAAGAAATCTAGCCAAGGGTGGTGGGGCATCGTTCTTTGAACTCGAGTTGGTCGAAGGTTGAACGGAATGTGGCTGCAATCGTCCAGTGTGGCATTCTTTTGCGGTAAAATGATACTAAAATTGGAGACGGTGTTTCTGTCTATCCAATTCGGCGACCAGCCGATTAGTTTCATGTTATGCATGAATGCCCGGAAGATGTTAACCCTAGCCAATGTCAGGAAGTGGGTGGTCCTCGGATCTCCCTGGACGTAGCTTTGATACGCTGATTGTGCAAGTTGCTCAAGAAGGAGATCTAAAAATTTCGAGCTGCGGCATAGAGTGGGTTTTGGTGAGTCGCTTTGTAGTGAGGCTGTATCCTGTGGTGGGATAGAGGAGGTCGAACTAGTGAATTTCACCGAGGTGCTGGAGTTATCTTTTTTTACTCCGAGTCGCTTTCGCATACCTGGGGGAAATTAGTTCATACTAAACCCAGTAAGCTAGGAAGCTATTAGGGCTTACGGTATGCTCTTTGGTTGATCCGATTTTGCCGCCGACGCCTTTCATCTGGGTCTGTCAGTCCAACCCAAGTTTCAGAAGGCTGCAGCTTATCACCGGAAACGGAAATAGACTGCACAGTTTTCGACAAAGTGGATTTGGTCATTGTAACTGTCAGTGGTAGGCTACGGTGTAAGCAGCTTGAAGATGACTGACCGACTAAGAGTACAAAGCCTGGAACTATATGCGTGTTTCTAAGAGAGAATAAACACATAGGGCCGTGTCCAATCAAATTGTCGCATAAGTGAAGTTGACCCACACAGATATTAAATCCATGGATGTCCTATCTAATATCCTATCTTTGGGCCTATCTTATCTCCCGTGCTATACTCCGTAGGAAGTACATTGGGAGGAATTCCGCCCAGCCTTGGCCTTGGCAGCCAAGAATCATTAACTCCGCGTATACTTGCGCCTCTGCCAAGCTCTGAATCAGTAACGTAGATCTTCGTAATAGTCAAACAATAATAGACTTGTGATATATAAGTAGCATTGCCTGTGTCCTCATTGTCTCCTATTGCAATCATCACCATTCCATACCATTGAACAACGAAATCTACCACCATGTTACCCATTTCGATCTTGAAAGGATCCATCACCCTAGCTGGTCTTCTATTTCAACCACAAAACATCACTGGCACTCTGCCAGGCCTTGTGATCATTCACCCTGGTGGGGGAGTGAAAGAGCAGGCTGCTAGTGTCTATGCTGAAAAGCTCTCCCTGGAAGGCTACGTCACTATCGCATACGATGCTGCTCATCAAGGTGACTCTGAAGGCCTCCCACACTTTTTGGAGGATCCCAACTCTAGGGTCACAGACGCCTCCGCTGTGGTCGACTATCTCGAGACGCTCGATTATGTTGACCCTGATCGTATCGCCGTGCTTGGAATTTGCGCCGGGGGAGGATATGCAGCAGCCGCAGCCAAGGGCGACCACCGCCTGAAAGCCGTTGCAACAGTTAGTGGAGTGAACATTGGCGACGCCAATCGCGAAGGCTGGCTTGGGACTGAGGATAAGGCTGGCAAAATTACGGTTCTTCAAGACATTACTGGTCCCATTCAAGCCGAAGCCAATGGGACCAAACCTGAATATTTCAACTATGTCCCTCCAAATCCCGATGAGAATACACCATATGACCTCAGAGATGCTGCCGACTACTACCTCACTCCGCGAGCTCAGCATCCCAACGCTCAGAATAAAATGCTTGCACGATCTCAATCACTCTTGCTCAACTTTGATGCGTGGGATTTTACAGACATATACCTTACTCAGCCAACGCTTCTCATCTATGGCGACTTGGCAGAGAGCAAGTGGCATTCGGAGAGACTTTACAACAAGTTGAAGGGCAAAAATGCCGAAGTGAGTCAGTACGTGATCCCAGGTGGTCGTCACATGGACTTCTATGACCGCCCCGCATACGTCGATCCTTCTGTTAAGCAAATTGCCGACTTCTTCCGGCAAGTATAAGGGTATTCTTTTACCCTTAAGTGGAAGGACCAATGCATGGAAATGTACATATTCTAGGGAGCAATCTAGGGATTACCTAGCATGTGTTCTATCGCTTGGTAAATGTGAGATAGCATCAGTATTACAATTCATCCCACGCGTATAAATAACCTACTGTCCACGGGTATCAATCCGTAAATCCTCTTTCATAAGCAGAACCTAGTAAGTAGTACTTCCAGTAAGTTTGCGCTGGTATCAACTCCCTAGCTTCTGAGATATTGTAAACAAATAGTATAGTATGGTATTCGATAAGAAGCTTTCGGTTGGATCATTATAGATATTCAGGCTCCCAAATTACACGATCTGCATGTATATGAAAAGAATACCGAAAGATTTACGAACAATATCGGATTAGGTTCGGGCTTTTGTGCTTAATGTAAAAGTCTAGATACAAGAATTGATTACAAGTTCGCTTGCATGAACTCAGCCACATTTTTCACCGCAGGTTCAACAAACTCCTCCTTGTCATAAAGGTCCATATGGGTGGCGTTTGAGAGAATGACCTTCTTTGACTTTCCATCGAGTATCTTGTGGAGCTTCTCCGTATGCCATAGGGATCCGGCTTTCTCACCAGCAATGAGCAAAGCAGGCTGTGTGAGGAATGACTCGGCGAGATGGAAAGCGTCGAATGTAATCACCCTAGGGAAACTCAAGAACAACATGGTGTTCTTTGCACGGGGGTGCTGGGCTCTTGGTCCAAGATAGTAATCGTGCGCCTCCTTCAGATCATAGGGTGTTTTATCGTCTAATTGAGGAGGAACATACGGCCCCGTCGCACGCTCCGCTCCCTGTGCCTCTGCCGTGATCTGCGCAGCAGCTTGCTCCAACAACTTGGTATTCTTTCCCGAGTCCTCATCGCCGTACCAGCCCTGTCGAGCCGAATCACCGATGTTCACCATGCTAATTGCGGCGACGGCCTTCAGTCGATGGTCGGCCTTGGTCGCCGCGACGGCGTATCCTCCACCCGCACATATTCCCACCACTCCAATGCTTTCCGCATCGACGCTTTCGTCTTTCTGTAGGTAGTCGATCACTGCGTAGACATCGGCCACACGTTCGTTCGGGTCCTCCAGGAAACGGGGTTCGCCACCGCTTTCGCCTTGGTAAGATGCGTCGTAGCAGACTACCGTGAACCCATGCGTAGCAAGTTTTTTCGCATATACTTGGGCCGTTTGCTCCTTAACTCCACCACCAGGGTGAACGATAATGAGAGCAGGGGTTTTGTCGCTGGAGGTGGTGGGCGTGAATAGAAGGCCAGCTAGCTGGATGGGCCCTTTTTGAATGGAGATGGCAGACATTATCGGTTCCTTTTGTAAAGAAAATAGAAAATATGATTAGAAACTCTAGGATAGTCGATATTGAACTTTTCAACTTTCATTGTGTACTTTTCTACGTATTTATGGGAGAATTCTCAAGGGTGGGTCATCTCTTCAATGATCTTGCGTTGCGGATTTTAACAGTATCTCCGATCTAATGAAATTGGAATAAAATTGGAATGGCTGCAAATATCCCTTGTTCCATCAGAGGAACATGAAGCTTTCAATTCGTATTATCTCCGACGCTAGGACTTTAGCGGATTAAACCCTACATTTATGGGCGAGAGTATTCAAATTTGAAAGATTTGAGTCTTTGATCATGCATTCAATATTCACATCTTTCCCCCTTTTCTTTTTGTTAGTCTCCTGTTCTGCTCTGCCTATATCTCATGACCCGAGAAATGTCTAGAATGTGTTGCTACCTCCCCAGTTTGCGTGTGCGTAGTTTTCAAAGGTGTTCTAGAATGCAGTTAGGAAACCGATTAATGTCGCTCGCATCCATTGAAAGACATATGTACTCACCCAATCAAAGTTCTCGGCAAAGTCATCAGCCATGAGATTTGGAAACATTTGAAGCGAAGACCCCATCATGTTGAGGTCCTCGTGGGCCTCAGTAAGATTTGGTATCATGTTTGAGCCGGGCAAATTGCTGCTGAAGTACATGTTGTCCAGAGCGCCTGAAGTCTGCGCCGCGTGATTTGCTTCTGTACTTGCCATCATGCCCATTGGTAGTGGACCTGGCATCATTGCAGTCGAATGATCCGGTGGTTCGGTTGGACAAGTGTTGACGCCCGATAAGTGACTATTCTCCGCGCTTCTGGTCTCCTCCGCAGTTTCCGGTGTGGATGCAGGACTCTTGATCTTTTCCAGCATGATCTCAAGCACTTTTGATGCCTGGAGTGCTTCAATTGAACCGTCGGCCAGTCCTTTCCAGAGATCTTTGGTCATTTCGAGGTTGCTCAACATCTCCATCCTTTGTTCATTTGTCCAGAAAAGCGCAGTTTCCCGGACTTTTTCATCGTTGCTAACCTCCGCCATGCAATCATAATGGAGGTCTAGCGCCACAAGCATGGCGCATACTAGAAATTCCTTCGTGGCCATTGAATTTACAAACCATTCAAGGGATCGAGGACCATCAGTATCATTTGATTTCTGATGCAGAGCTATTAGGTTTCGTAGCGTATCTGATGCAGCCGTGACAGCGCTTCGGCGCGAATACGCGTATTGTGGGTTTTCCCGCGCGCGAGGCACGTATTTCTTATGCAATAGGCAAATGATCTTGAGGTAAAGCGCGTTGATGCTGAACCTCATCATAACCACCGTAATTGAATCGTGGCAGCCTTCCAGTGGCACTGCCTGCAAGTGCGGGGGGAAACGTCTGGAAGATCCCACGAAGTCGGGTATCAAAGCGCAGGATTTCTTCGTACTGAATCTGACCACCAACGCGGTTTATTGTCTCCAGGATGTCGCTCATTTCTTGGCATAATTTCACCTTAGCAATCGAGTATGCAATCGAAGTGAGTTCATTGTTTGGGCGAGACGGAGGCAGAGTCCGACTTTCCGGACCAAAGTCTTCATCGAGAAGATTCGTTGGTGCCTGTGTATCGCAATGGTGATTGTAAATTGTGTGGGGTAATGAAACCTGATGAGCAAACATCACATCGGCCATTCTCAGCAAAGCCCACGTCCGTCGTCTCATTTCCTGTTGCATTGTGTCAGCCTGTGGCTTTACAAGAGCGCATCCATAGCACCTACGCCCTGGAAAGGTGTCAATGATGTGAACCACTTAGCATCACGATGATAGCCCATGTGAAAGGCGATCTTGGTGGTCAATGAGACGATCAACCAGAGCCCCAAATCGACATCAAATCGCCACGAATACTCCCCAAAGACATAGAGTAGCATTGTCTCTACTGTGTTCTCAACCGGCTTCGTGTAATCACCTGTGATCAAACACTGCACGGTCCGTAATCGATACTCGCCCGCCATCCTTAAAGTTTGTCCTTCCCATTGGCTAGGTTCATCCCCGAGCTTGTGATAGCTCAGCATCCCTAGACACAGGATTGAGTAAAGCAAGCCTAGCCACATGATAGGTGTTTTGGACGGATCTTCCCAGTGACATTGCAGTTGCTGGTGAAATGTCGGGGGGTGGACAATGACGACAAGATTATCCGGTGAATTGAAGTATCGCGAGCATATGGTGAGGACAGTCGACATGGGAGGCAACTCAGCTCGTAGTTCGACATCGGTGGCAGGAGGCACGACACCGAGAAGTAACGTGAGCCCTTCTCTGGCGCTTGTCGGTGTAGACATACTGACCCTTTCGCGGCTGTTATCGATCTCCTTATGGTTGGCGAAGTAGGCCTTGACCTCTGAAATTTCCGACAACACCGTATGCCAGTGTTCCTGGCCGATATACTTTGACCTTCCCTTGTCAAGGTTGATATCGAGGTAGCCCAGTGAGCTGGTCAAGCTGCTTTCAGCATTAGAATCCACATCATGAGCATGTGGCATCGCTTCCTTGTCCTGGCCGAGTAATTCAGAGTGTGGTGTGCTCTCGATCGGTTCAGTTCGAGCCACAGTGGTGGCAGTTGTTACACCTGAGACCTCGGCATTGCCAGTCCCACGCATCAAAGCAAGGATTAGATTTTCCAGGCGACCGATTCGATCTTGCATATCATCGGGTCTCGGAGTGCCCGGACTTTGGTTCTGTGTGCTAGGAGGAGTCGCGTAGATGCATGAACTGACATCAGCACCTTCACGCCTCACACAGTTTCTACAGGGGTGATTACGATCACATTTCCTGATAAAGTTAGTTCAAACGAACAAGGTACCATTACACGTATGTTTTTACCATCTATAGCAGGCTGTTAGAACTCTATTTTCGTTCTAGGTGAATTCGGGATTGACTAACTTTCGGGTTCGGCACGGATAGCAGCTTAGCGGGACTCTGTTTCTCTTTTTGACAACATGAAACTGGCGTTCAATAGACCTGGCTTCTATGGAAGCACCGGGATTGATGGACGAAGTGGTGGGGTCCATAAAGAAACGGTGCGCAGTAGGCCCTCAAAATGATTACCAGCAATGTAGATAGTGTTGAGTAATTCAATCGAACAAAAGACAAACCATTGAGTCAGGATCTGGGAAATGCGTAGTGTCAGTGGTTGGAGAAACCTGTGAAGTACTTGCCCAGGTGCGATGTTGGCATTAGTCAGCCTTTACCCGATATTGTACTAGGCGCCTATCTAGGTAATCCTCTAACCTAAATAGGTAGTACTTGTCAAGGCCGAATCCATACTACACAAGTTAGTCATTTTGATACAAGTACAGGCTCTCATAACCCTACTGAGCTTCTTAGGTTATGTATAGTTCTTCACATACTCAGTCTTCTTCTTTCAAGCGCAAACGCTTTACACCTCCCGACTCTGGTCTCGACAACTTCCTTTTCTCGGGTCTTGAGAGCTTAAGTGTCCGAGTATGCAAAGTAGCGCGGTGAAAGTCGATAATCAACGCTCGTCCAAGCTCCTTATTCCAAAGAATATTGTCATATCGAAGATCATTATGAGCAACGCCCAGCGCTTTGATTTCCTTCGTCGATCTCCGGATTTCCTGGCTAAGCCATGGCTCCATCTCCATCTCTGCAGTGTTCTCGCCTCCCCATCCCATGACTAGCATGTGTCGAATCTCTCCAGCCCCGTGTAGAAAATAAATTTTGGCCAAATCGATTGTACCGAGGAAAACCGGTACCGCTGAACCTTGCGCTCTCCGTAGGATTCGATATACCTGCGCTTCGCTAGAGACTTGTTTCCATAGGTTCGACGTGGTTCCTTTCCCGATGACTGTATAGCCATATACGATGCAAGTCAATTTAAATGGTGCGCCATATGACCCGCAACGTCCGAACGGTATACACCGGTCGATGTTGTCGTCCAGTTGTTCATTTAGTAAACGTACTAAATCATCCGATGTGATGGGATGTTTAGGGTCATTTGGGTCCTGACGGTGAAGCTTTACGTTTGGACAACCTTCATCTAGGTTACCCCCGGTCTGTAGCCCGATGAGACATCTCTGAGTGCAGAATTGTGCATCGCGTCGGGACTGACTATCTTGATATCTCCTAGCGGCTTCCTTCCGATCCACTCGTTGGGTAGACGGGGAAGATGTGACTTGGCTGAAGCCCCTTTTTCGTCCCATTGCTTGATTGGAGTCGGAGCCTGACGAGTCTGGCGACTGCGTGCGGTGTCGGTCATTTGGGGGCGCACAGGTTCCTCGAGGCCTTATAGGCACCTCTATTGCCGGTTCTGGCGGAGATACAGGGGGTGATGACGAAGGTTCATAAGCCGAACCAGATTCTGGACTCGTGTACTCCAGATACGTGCTATCGGAGTTTGGAAGAGGCTGTGATCCTTTGGTGGTCTTAGAATGGGTGCGACTAAAGTTGGAGTCCCAAATCCGAAGATTTTGGCGTGCACGATGTCTCCATTCGTGATCACGTATGGATGAACTAAATGCCATTAAGCATAACATAGCACTCTGGCAATAGAAGTCTTTGGCTCTTGGAACCCATTCTCGGATTCTGGTTCCACTTCTGAATTGGGATCACAAAAGTGATAGTAAAGGGTGCTAGGATTATCATGAGGGACACGAAGAAAAACGCGGGCAATTCCAGTCGTCACGTAGGAGTACTCGAGTCCCTCCTGGATCATCACATGATATTCTTGAACAATAGCGGAGCAAACGAGTCGCTCTGCATCGTACCTTGACTTCGCTTCCTTGTCCGTCGGGATTTTGTTTGACCTGACGATATCTTTGTACAAATTCATATCCCGTAGTCCTAGGCGAAAGGCTTCAACAGAAATCTTGTGAGGCGGCTTGTATTCGGCTGTAGCAAGGAGGGTGTGAGTGTTGCCGTCGACCCGGTGGATGAAAAAAAATGAATCGGCTTTTGGCCGTTCTATTTGCGATAGCTGACTTGCACTCGCATCGACACCTTCATCCGCCTCAAGCAAGTTTGTATGGTTCTCGAACCGAATTCCATCTCCGAGTCCAAACTCCTCTCGTGCGCCATCAATGTTGCATAACTCCTGGATTATATTATGGACATAATTCTCCACGGCATTTCGCTCGTAGTTCTCGACAGATTGCTCGCTGCTCGTTGACCGGTAGCCGAATTGTTTTGCATTTTCTTCGAGGGCATTCAGAGGTGTAAACAACCGTGCTTGGTCCTCCTCAGCAGGCTGTAGATAGTTGCACACAGAAGTGTAAATCTCTTGCTGTCGAGCTGAACAGTCTGTCCACACTTCTAGTCGCGAAGGGCAATACTTCCCGGTTGGAAGGGTATTGTCCCTGTAGTTGAGCTAGATGGCGACTCAACTCTCAACGGTCGCGATAATAAGTTGTGACAAAGTCGGATAAATTCCACGAAAGTTGTTGGACGGTTGCGCTCTCGATTCAATCTCCCTTCATCCTCTGCCTGCTTCCGTCTCTCTTCTGCCTGCTTCCGTCTCTCTTCTTCTTGCTTCCGTCTCTCTTCTTCCTGCTTCTGACTCTCTTCTGCCTGCTTCTGTCTCTCTTCTGCCTGTCTCCGTCTCTCTTTCTCCTCCATAAAGAGTTTCTTATAGTCGGGTGAGCTGTTGGTCATGGAAGTGTTAAATAAGGAGGAGTTGAAGGTTCAGGAAGATGAGGCTAAGAGGGACCCACAAGTGGACCAGTGGAACCAATGTGGGTCACTTTTCAGCCGATTCGGTAGAACTATTCTCCGGGCAAGTTTATCTGAAGTTTAATCTTATGCTTACATGCTTCCACCCTTGGGAGGAGGTTCGAAGGTTATTTACAAATAGGCAAAGACGTCAAAACATACATCAAAAAAGGAATTATCGCATATATGGTCGACTATCCTTGTCAAACATCAACAACCACGTAGGTACTCCGGATAAGACATAGAAATAGAAAGGACGTTCCATACACATCAGTGACGAAAGAGACGAAAGAGGGTCCAATTGGTAAGACAATCACAACCACACACTGAGCTCTCATCTGCAAGGCATTAGATACATGAGTGCACACAAATCTATTTAATAAGGGAGAAAGAAGAAAATCAACTATCAAAATGTCTGGAGAGACTATTCAGTTGGTTTGTAACAACCAGGTGGCCAAAAGATACCTTGAAGCCATGGATGCTCGATCAGCTCCCTCGGGGTCTTTCGATCTTCCGGTCGCCAGGTGATCATTCCCTTCATCAAGTCCAAGAACATCTCTTTATCTTCCCCTTCAAGATGTTTCTCCAAATCTTCAAAACTGGTCGGATGAACCTCGCAGTCCTCGACTATCCAATTTCCTGTGAAAGAGATAGTTAGTAGATGACAGGCACTCAAAAGAAAGGACACCCACTTACCATCTTTATCAAAATACTTGGCACTGATGGTGTCAGGTTCTATGAAATCAGGAGGCGGTGGTCCCAGCAACCCTGTTATGTACGCAAGATGTGCAGAGGTGGTGTAGGCATCATGGTCTTCTTCGAGGGGAAAACAATCGACTGCCTTCAAATGCACCCCAGGCCTAATTCAAAGCAAATTAGAGTTATGGAATCACTTGAAGTAGTTAAGGAGCACTTACCCAAACGCCCAAGTTCCAAATATCAACCGGATAGTTCCACTCCTTTTCAAGTATCACCTCGGGTGATCGATAAAGAGCAGGCTGGAGAGGCTGACTGTTTCGTGGGACGTCTCCTGGTTGGGCAGATCCGAGATCTCCTAGCTGAATCTTACCCAACTGGGATGCTGGCTCAAGTGGCCTAGAGCGATAGAAGATATAGGCGAAATCAATTCTTCTTGCTTAAGGGTGTTCAATCTCAGCCTGGACGTATCTGTCAAGCCTAGATTTGTCTCCAATCTCTTGAAAGATATTCTCCCCCTTGATGTCTATGCAAAGAAGTTAGTGATCTATCTGAGCCGTTCAGGTCGGGGGCCATTCCATACCTCCGTGGATAAGAATGCATTCTGTATGCATATAGTCCAGTGCTAGCAACATCTGATAGATCGTTGACTGGATATAGAGTTTATCCAAGCGCTCACCGACCGAACGATTTTGGATATCTAGCAAGCTCTCTCCAAGAGGTTCTTGCAGAATGACCAAGTGCTTGAAGATCTCAAGCCTGGTAAATTCAAACTCAGCTATCTTTGTCCTTACTCGACCCGATCCAAGATGTTGTTGATTTCCCTGTTTGATTTTGTCGTAGTATGTAGATTCTTCGCTAGGAAGCATATCATGCGAGAACATCTTCAATGCCATATAGTCATTCATTCTATTCTGATTAGTATTGAGTAGATACCTAGTAAATGGAGAATAAAGTATTAGCCTACTCAAGATCTCGAGCCAACCACACGGTAGATGTGATTCCCCATCCGAGTTTACCGACAACCTGATAGCGGGAGAGTAAAATGTCGCCGATATCGACAGGCAGATAGCCGTTTTGCTGCAAAAACTCTTCAATCTGTTCTTCCTCAATTGTCTCATCGTCAGGAATAGTTTCCCAGCCAGCTGTTGGAAAAGAGACGGGAAACTTGAGAGACCTTCTGAAGAGGCTCCTCAGCCATTCCAAATTGAAGAGCTTCCTGCCGAAGAGTCTCTTCAGCAATTCCAAATAGATGCCATGATTTGCCAGTAGAATTAGGTTTAGAGGGATAATAGTATAGGCAGTTATCCTTATATCCAAATTCCTAACAAAGGAAAGCAGCTCATGACCACCATGGATGAATTAGGGCTCTGCCGACTAATAATCCTACTAGCACTTAAGGTATCATTTCTTTCATCCTTTCATCTGAGACACGAAGCGGTGGAGGTCAACTATTTAGGAATATTGGGCTTTGATGAGAGATCTCTTAGATTACTACGATAGGTTAGACCCCCGGTTTCAGTAAAGACAGGGCTGGAGCAGTATGATTCTTGCTGGTATGGTATTGCATCGGACCCCTTCTGTCGGTTTATTCAGCTCTCCTCTCCCCCTCGCCTATATATAGATTGTATAAAGGTTTCATGTGTAATCAAGAGTTCTTTATCTTCCCTCCAGTTCTAGAGATTTGAAAGACCTGTGGCAAAAGTTCACTCGCCCCAATGTCTAACTCAGGATTGGGTTAGGATCTATCTAATTGCTCAGAACTGTAACAAGATACGTGCTAACCATATTTTCTTTAGTTTTGGTACTAGAATATAGTTTATCTAAAAGACTTCTCCGTACATCGGTTCGTCTGAAAATTGTCTGCCACAACGTAGATACAACGGCATAACATGTTGTTTCCCTATCCAGGTCACAAGGAAAAGCTCAGGTAGTGTGGATTAACTACTGAGTCTCAAGAACTCCCATTTATTCTCAAATTGACCGAGTAACATTGCGTAGTTAGAGAAACTACATTTGGACATGTGGAAAGTGGCTTTTGACCCCTAGAAGTCAGTCAGGTTTCTTGATCCAGGTTTTGTGTTGTCCCAGGATGATACAAGATCATTGTGTTCATTTGATGGAGGGAGATCTCCAGTTAGAGCAGCAATGAAAATGCAAGTATTTTCCGTTAAATAGAGAGCTTAGACAGGAAGCCAAATATCACCAGCCATCCTATATCACATCTTTGCTTGTGGGCTGTACTAGAGCAGACTCTAATACTATGGGTATCAACTAAACTCTTGTCGAACGGTGCAAGACGGTGCATACCAAGCAACCAGAAAGCACTGTCAAGTTTACTGGCTATGACCTAGGCAAACTAGAAGAGTGTTGGATTGTTGTTGTCAATCGGTTTTTTTCACCTGGCGGAGAAGCTGAACAAGTATGAAACATTGCCCCCTACCCTCATATTCCGGGAATCGCTTTTTAGACCATGCTGTGGAATGGATATGCTTGAACATTTTTACTAATAAACCATTTACAGAAATTCGGACGAATCGCAATGGCTGAATTAACGCAAATTTATCTTTGGTTTGATTTGATGTTATCTCTTGTGCAACTCTAACTTGCATACTAGGGTCTTGGGTAATACGACCTAGAACAATGACCCCGTCCACCGATCCTGCTTCAATCCTAAAGATGAAAGACTCGTTCTAACATTTGTTGTTACTGCAGTTTCGGGCGAGAAGAAGAGGTGCCATTGTTTTGAGACCGGGAAAGGCACGGAATGGATTGGAGACAAAGAGCAGTAAATTTATTGTCTAATCGATGGTGAAACGGTGTATTTTATATACCAAGGTTATTTCTATATCACTTTTGAGCATTCCAGCTGGGCTCAGAAATAGGCAGATAATTAGAAGTTGCTTGGAGCTCAAACCCCTCGTGGACACGGCAACTCACTGTGCAAAATACTAATCAAAGTAGTCTATATTATAGAAGAGCCCCTAGGATATGGGTCGAACTAGTTTTATCCTAGATATTCTCTCCATGCAAATGTCAATAATAATCCAACAAGACAACAAGGAATTATTAAACGCCAAACTGAAAATCCCGCGAGTCATCTCCAAGCCAAATCCGAATCTCTTCCAAGGCGTTAAGGTCATTCTCAGGAAGAGATAGCTTTACTGTCTCATCCCACCATTCATAAGTCCGTCCGAATCCCTTCATAGTCTCTCCAATAGACTGACAAGAGCCGAAATCGATAATCACTAGTCCATCACCATCAAACATAATGTTACTAGGATTGATATCATTATGAACTAGCCCCAAAGAATGAAGATATCTTATACCACTCTCAACACCAGCCAAAACAGTGCTGTAGCCTTTACTCGTTTTCCGTGCGCTTCTCGCCTGTCTCTTCATCAAAGCGCCGGGATTCACCTCTTTCATCGACGTGTGAGAGTATTTTGTAAAGCAAAGGCCCGTAATTCTGTCGCCGGATACCTGGCAACCATGGTAGATGGCGATATTGGGATGTGGATGTTGCATTAACAGTTCGCACACTTTTGCTTCAGCCAGGATGGACTCGGCAATTGCGTTCCGTTGAGGGCTTTTGGAAATCCAATCGTAGCTAACCCGAGGTCGTTTCATATGTGTGTCTTTTGGCAGTGGGTCATGTGCTCGTGTCAAGTCCGTTTCATATAGAGGACTGTACGCTGAGATGGGTATTAGGCTGACATTTGTAAGGTCCGCTAGGTTGACAATTGTGGAAGGACAGTAACGAGCTTTCAGCATTCCGTGATATAATTGATCGTTCGTTCGATACACGACACACGTGCCAGCAAAACCAAAGCTCCCATTGATATCTTCGAAAGCCTCGTTCATCTCCAGGACCTCCAGCTGTAGGTTGCCATCCGGTGGAGTTGCCATGGCTTTGAAACCTTCGATGTTGCGAATAGCCTGTCCAGAATTGTAGAGCCGTCTTGGAGTAAAGAGCCCAGATAAAAAGATATGATGGCTTTCAATATAAGAAGATCAGATAAATGGGACTTCGTAGGTGGAGATTCTTGAAAGGTCGGTGTACTCAACTAACACGCCAATATTTGACTGGTCCGGGGGTTGACCAGCATGAGGTATTGGAGTATGCCAATGTTTTCCGAGTCAAAACATTCTACAAAGGCCACCAGATACTTACATCTAGACACAACTACCTGTAGAAGAACAATATAGATTAGTTATAGCGACTCTATAACCAATGTCACTCTCGATCAGCAAGAATCCCCTCTTCAGTCTCACTCCCACCCCTCCGACGCCTAGGAACACCCTCATTCATAGCATTAAGCTGCTTCGGAACAGGCACCGAAACCGAAGCATCACTCGGTCTACGCCGTCTAACAAGCTGATACCCCCTATCAAGCTCGATCTCAACCGCCTCTCGAACTTTTAGTGCACTAATCGCCGGCCAGACTCCCCTCTCACCCTTGAGCGCCCACTCAGAGACGCGGTCTTTTGTCGGACTCTGGAATAGTTTCCTCAGATCCCAGAAACACAAGTCTGGGACGAGAGTTAAGTTCGGCCCGGGGATGGTCTCATCGATGAGGAGTCTGCTCAATGGGGCGGGTAGCACACCCAGGTAGTCGAGTTGGCGGAGCCGGTGGCGTAGTTCGACAATTATTAGTCGCATTGCGGAGCGGGAGAGGTTGTTCCAGCCTGTTTGGCGTCGGTCTAGGAGGTTGAGCTCTGAACGCAGGAATGGGACTAGGTATGGTCGAGCTTGGGAGACGATGAAGTGGTTGACGTTGAAAAGTTCCGATATTCGTGAGAGGGGGGATTCGCCTTCGTTGTATTGGACATGTCGCCAGGGCCGGAAGACTGCGTCTTGTGTGTGTGGCCATGGAACTATTGTGCCTGTTTCGTCTTTGCAGTAGATCGTCACTGGTGAGTAGAGGCCTGAGGAAGAAGCGTTGGATGCTACGGCTGCAGACCAGATGAGCTAGAAACCATGTTAGATATCACTGACACCGGCAAGGATAAGGGGAGAAATATATACCACATTCGGCGCGGTCAAGTAATTCAACAGATTAGGCGTCCCGTTCTTCCCCATCGTCGCAACAGTGATATTCAATATGCGCTTCGACCTCGCATACGCCTCTTCAAACGTAAGATCTCCAACATTAGCCCGAACACATTCCTCCAAAACACCAACGTCAAACAAATACCCCTTCCTCAGCAACCTCCTCATCCTTCGATAGAACGTCCCAACCCAACTCGAGTCAGAGTTACTCCCATCCCCACCATTCACCATCTTCCGTCTCTCAAAGGCAGAAAGATCAATTCCCTCCCCATCAAGTAACGGCATTAACTCATCCTCGGAATGAATCCCCACAAGGGCAGCAATCATCGCCCCAGTCGCAGTGCCCGTAATAATCCGTGGTAACAGACCCTGTAAATGCAGCGCCTTCACAACACCAAGATGACACAGCCCGAACGCAGATCCGCCCTGCAACAGCAGCGTCGTCCGCCCAAACGCCTGTCGCGTATCGTGCAGCAGCTCCAGCTTCGCTTGCGAGTTAAACCCGCTCGGGTGCATCGGTGCTCCTGGAAACGATGTCACGTACTGGATTGACAGCGCTACTTGCGTGATGTAGTCGTCGATTAGAAGCTTGGTCCCTGCGTACGCGTGCGTAAATAGCTTCGTGCTGGTTATGTTGCCCAGATTTCGTACTAGCCCCGACCGGAGCAGGTTGACTAGTGTTAGAATATCTTCTGACTCTCGCGCGCTCATCAGTGCTTCGAGTCGGCCGAGGATTAGTCGGTAATCATAGTGTCGGCTGACGGGGTTTTGGCGCCTGCGTAGGTAGTTAGATGGTGGTTTGGTACATTGGGGTTTTGAGCTGGGTTCAATTGGTGTGGTTTAATTTCATACCATAGATCTTTACTTTGTAGCTCGTCGAGTTGAAATGCCGCCTCTTCCCACTCCTCATAGCTCTGCGCGTTGGCTAGAGTATGGAAGAGCCGATCACGAGGGGATTTGGAATGCCACCATGATAATAGTTTCTAAGGGACATTTATTAGCTGAAGATCAAACCAAAAACTACACCCGATCTCATGTCTTGTGCGTCTTTTGTCTTTGCCATCTCAGGCTCAGAGCTCCTCCCCACATACAAGACACCCGCGCTGGGGTTGGAGAACAATACTCACGTCTCTCCAGAACTGAGCAACATCAAGCACCATATTCCAGATCGCACCAACGATCTTCCACAATCCGAGCCACCAGGACCCCATTTTTTCATTCGAGGGATATGTCTGCGTTAGGGGTGGTGGAGGGAGAGAGGTACACATGCGGGCCCGGGTATTCGCTTTCACATGCTACAACGTCACCCACGTTACACCAGGGAATTGGAGGTGGAGATCAAGATAGTGGTATTGGATTAATAGTAGATCGGGTGATCAAGTGTGATATGTATTCGAATGTAGCTGTGTTATGGAGATGAATTGGACTCGATTGGTCTGAGGAAGGAATGGTGTTGGTTGAAGGTTGAAGAGTTGAAGCAGATCAACCCAGATTCCCCCGGATCTTCATCTTCAACTACAACTGGCCCGTGACAAATACATTGTAGTACATATTTCTCTCTACTCAATACTTAAGAGTATTAAAGTAATGAAGTATAATGGAATTGCCACGGGCGCACATTTCTACATGCCACATACAAAGACGTTATTCGCGTAAGGGAATCAGTGAATTTCAAAAGGGTCGTTTTGTTTTTGACATTTCGCTTTGCTTCCCTATATGCAAGTAGGCGAAATTAAAGAAACCTCTCCCGGACACCCCATACATTCCCAAGCAGCACATTTACTCTTCGATGATGTTGCCCTTCTCCGACACGTAAAGACCGTCCAAGAACTGCAGATGGTCAGTATAAATTCAAAGACTCGGGTCGTCCCGGCGAAAGTAATGGTGTTCGTATAACTCACCTTACGGATATCCTTGTTACGGACGCGGCAGATCTGCTGGATGTCGGCGGCGGACTGGGACACACCCTCGAGGGAGTTACCGGTGAGGATGAGCTCATCCTTGACGTTGGCGGAGGGAGCGATGTCGACATCGGGCTGAGCAGTGATGCGGCGGACGTACTTCTCACCGAGGAAGTTGCTGATAGCAAAAACGTTAGCGCGAGTTCCTTCACAATTGACTTTCACAGTATATTTCCCGAATATCATATCGGGAAAAAAACGTAGGTTCGAGGGTTCCATACCGGATCTCCACAACAGCACGGCCAGTCTCTGGGTTGGGCTCAATGTTGACGTTGATGGGGAAGTGAGCGTAGACGTAACGCATCTTGTACTTGAAGCCACGGGTAACACCGATCATCAGGTTGTTAATGATGGTGCGGACGGTACGGAGGGTAGCAACACCCTTGCGGGCACCGTGGTGCAGCTCGATGGAGATAACGTTCTGCTCGGGGCGGCCGAAGGTGACGGCAATGTGGGAGAGATCCTTGACGAGCTTGCCGCGGGGACCCTCGACAGTCACGACGCGGGAGCGAATCTGGACCTTCACTATAGAGCAGAAAAAGATTCGGGTTAGTCCATGGCCATTTCCTTTTTTTTTTGTGAATTCAATATTTTGAAGGAATCAAAATCAAGAATTGTCCGGTAGATGTGCGAGTCGCCGATCCCACACAACATTCCCTCCTGCTTCTGCTGCATTGGTGCTGGATATTGATCGTATGTCGTGCTAGGCTTGTGTGTTGAATTTCGTGCCCTCAAAAGAGAAGTTGTATTGTGTGCGACCGGCTTCCTCCATCGTGAAAAAAAAGAAATTCGCTCACCATTGTCCAGAATGGGCAACCGTTCCTCGGAGTGAATGTACCGCATCTTGACGTGACTTTTGGTGGTTGCCGGGGGTGTAGATTGTCGATGTCGGGGAGGTTCAAAATTCGAATGGACTTGGTGGTGGAGCGAAATTGGATGTCACGGGGTTGTGCGTCGCTTAGGGCCATTTTGGGTCTAGCGCAATTAGGGTTCCTTATCAGCTTATCGTCTTATCGTGGCTTGTACCAGTACTTGCTCCACCGCTTTTAATGGAGTGATTGCCAAGTAAAGGTACATATGGTAAATATTAAGCTGGAGCCTGAAGTTCCAAGGGTTCCTGAGCAAGTTCGCTACTATGTACAATATACAATACAATAAGCTACAACAACCATATATCTCTCCTCTTCCCTGAGTTTCTGCCAGGGCTATGAGCTATGGCTATCGAAATTTGAAACATGTTTTACATTACTAACCTCATAGTGGTTTCTCAACCTCCTGGTGCGACACATCCACGATCCATTTCCCACCCATTTGTCGCAGCGTCGAAGCCAGCTCGTCGCTCTGATCCAATGCCGCAATATCGTCTCCACCACCTATACTCTTCCCGCTCACGAGTACATTGGGCACGGTGCGACGCCCCGTACTCTGTGCGAGCAGGGCCTGAAGATACGGTCCAAGTGGGTGTTTGTCCAATTCGACCACGAACGGTTTCGGCTCGATAGAGTAGTGTTCCAGCAAGATCAACTTGGCTTTCTTGCTATAGGGGCAGTAGGATTTGGAGAAAACGATGACTGGATGCGGTTAGTCTTGGTTACGGGCAAGAAATGAACAATGGGGAACGGAACAGAAACATACTTGGAGCCCGCTTAAGAATCGCATTAAGCTCTGTTTTCGCCTCAGCCTCTTTCCTCTCTTTCTCCTCTCGCTCTCTCTGCGCTTTTTCCTCACGCTCCTTCTCCTCCTCGCTCTTGACCTCCGACTGGACCTCTGACGGCGTATCCTGGCTCCCCTTCTTGGGAACAGTCATCTTCGTCCGTCCAGCAATCGGGATATCCTCCATATCTTCATTCCCTGTAGCAGGAGGAATAGCGGCTTTCTCGACCTCAGCGATGGGC